AACACATTACAAAAAGGGCGGCGAAACTATTTGGACATCTCTGGAATTATCGTAAAGTAAGCATTAAAATTAAATCAAAAACCCCATATCCAACGTATTTTTCGACGAATTCAACAGTGACCTTGAATTTGACCTTGAAAGTAAGCTCTACGCTACAGCAAACTAAAATCGATTTTCAACACGGCGAGTCCCATTTTCCATTTAGGATTTGAAAAGAGCGCAAAATTTCACGTTCGAATATGTATTTTTTTCAAGGTCATTTGAAGGATACCACAGTTCAAAAATAAATTTTTTTAGATGAGCTTAATATTAGGTTAAATAGGGGCTTTATTCATATTCATCATAACTCGTCACTCGATCATCTGAAATCAAAAAATCAAAGAGTTCTGGTTAAAAAGCATAGTTTTTGTTTTTTCATTCAATGTTGTTTTTGACCTCTAATATGCTCTCAAATGATTTCTATTGTTTCAACCATCACTCAACTTCATAATAAGTTGTATTTTGAAGTATCGAAGAACATATTACAATATTGGTCTACCCGCTGGAGACAAACACATTTATTTTTTGACATATACGCTTTATTACATTACTAATAGCTTTTAAAATTATAATTATGACTTTTGACAACAAATTTGAGTTTGTCATCAAATTTTAGATTGAAAATCATGTTTTAACAATTTTTTCATATTCACCCTAGGAAATCAGAATAAAATTTGAAAAATCAAATTCCAACTTGAGACCTTGAAGATCCAAGAGGGATGGAACTAGACGGCTGAAAATTTCAAGATTTTCATTGTCAATGTAATCTTCAAGCGTGCATGCTTTGTTTCAATTTCATTTTTTTTTACTATCATGGTTAACGTGACATAGCCCATACATATTTTTTATACATTCTTACATAGAATCATCAATTTCGGGGCAATAGAAATAATTGCTATGTTCTAGAATATCTTCTGCATTTTTCTTGGTTTATCTACTGATAATTCTACCTCTTTAGTTCCTTCTGCAGGTTTTTTGTCTGCCCTAGTGATCCGATGCACGTCCTATAAGCGCGCCCACTCGTGAGTACTTGATCCTAGACTGATACACATCTCTTCCCAAAAAACCAGTAAAGCAAATGATCCTTCATTAAAAAAACACGCTGCTACGTTTTCTGCAATTTCCGCAATATTTGAAGTATCACTTAAAATTTTCAGGGTAATTTTCTAGATTATTTGATTCAAACTTTCATTATTATTATGCGTGAACCCTCAGACACATCGCTCTAAAAGTGCACCTTTAATCAAGTTCTCATACATGGGTTTTATTGAATTTAAAACATACGTAGAAAGAGCGGCATAACTATGTTTAAATAATTTTAGTTCGCCTTTGATTGCAGCTTTTTGACATTTTTGATGTTTTGGACTATCATCAGTAGTAATAAGTTGATCAAATGGCATTTTTCATTTTCTCTACAGAATCGTTATTTCGACGAATAGCCAAGCCATAGTACATTTTTTTTTATAGATAGAGAAATGCGTTACGCACCGTAAGGAGGTTTGTTGAAATCGACCCCGAACCTCCCCGTGTGTGGGACTCACCCTCAACCGATTTGCGTCGGTGATGGAATACCCACTAAAACTCTATCTGCCCGAGCGATGGAAGTGCTCGGACGCGGCTTTATTTAGTGTTGCCGTCTTAGATGGTGGGAGACCACGTTCTCCAAAAGATGTGCGCAAGATGATGTCAAGGCTACCCTATGCCTTCTCTTCGACCTGCAGGGTTAATACCTGTATAACCACTGATGTGCGTGGTCATTTTATTCCACCGGAGCCAATTCATGTACGAACCACGGACAGCTCTAAACGTGATGGAATCCAAACATTTGCTCAATCCGAGTTCGCACAGACTCGCGGCGGAAGCAGCGGACCAGATACCCCGCCAGGAGATCGTGATCGAAGAGAACGAGATGTTATCGTTCTCGACCCCATACTCACTGGCGACCTGATCATCATCTATGGGGTATCATATTTGGCGACTTTCCGACGGTGCGAGTCGTCAAGGGACGATGAAGCGCTGATGACTTGCGCATCGATCACCTTGACAACCTGATCCTTTACAGCGACGATATCTGGCTTCCGCAAGCCTTCTCTGGTATGAAAGTGCGGCTCCTGCCGGACACTCCATCCCAACTGCCGGAGGCTACTGACTGCGATACGGCAAATTGCATCGTGTCGCAGTATTCGGCCTTCATGAGTGCGGTGACAGCCCTGAATGACGTGAGCTGCGGTTTCATTAGTACCACAGCCCGCTCGACACTCGATAGGCGGGCCACCGACTACGCGTCTGCCGCGTGATGTTCAAACGCGAGTTGGGAGAGTATTGACCCGAACGTGATGGAATTGTACGTAGTCTCGTCCGGAGAGGGCCGCGCTGTTACGGTCTACCCACGAGTGGCTCGCACGAACACGAGCACACTCGGAGAGTTCCTTGCCATCATTCGCTTGATGAAGTAGCGAAGCCCAGTACTTGCTACGAGCCTCCTGGCCGAAAAGGGGCCGCCCATGAAAGGACAGCGCCGTTTCGGCCCATCGGATCGAAGCCTGTACCGATCGATGACAAAAGACACCTCTAACGGCAGCACAGGAAGACTCAGCCATATCCGAAAGCCTTGAATGAACCAAGGCCGGAATAGCTGTTCGGAAAGATGGAATTCCGAGTCCCCCGTCTAAACACCGCGCGTGGAAGTATCCAATGGGAACATCTTATGGTAGCCGTAACCACTTGCGAACCGCAGCGCGTACTTGTCGGTCAAGACTCTTAAGAGTTTGAAGATGGCATCTAGACAAGACTAACTGGTGGTAAAATCGCGGCACGAGGAAGCAGCGTAAGATCTTTAAACACTGCTGGGGCTTTAGAGGAGCCGAGGCGATGTTAGCCAACTCCCGAACTAAAGTACCCCCGGGCTTCCGGATACCAAGGGGAGAAAAATGCACCCCAAGGTATCTAAAGTGCTCGGTAGGGCCAAGCTGACGAATAGGCCCTCCGCCAATCTGAAAGCTTTCAGCAGTCGACACTTTATATGTCTTCCGCTTACTGGAAATCAAGATTGCCCTTATAAAAATTTCCTATAGGATTTCGCGAAATTCCTACAGGAGTCCTATAGGATTCCAGTAGGAATTTCGCGGGATCCTATAGGAAATTTTTATAAGGGTGACATCGCGATGCACTTGGCCGCGTTGAACTGCAGACCATATTTGGAAGCCTCGTCCCCGGGGGTTCGCAACATTTCTTTCATACCCAATATTGATGAGCTAAAAAGCTTAACTTATCAATCACCTTTCCGGTTAATTTACCTTTTTCAGAAATAAATTTTCTTTCCATTTTTTTTTTTTTTTTTGACAGATTTCGATACTGCATGTATAACTGAATTTTTCACTAATTTCCGCAAGCGTTTGCCCATCTTTTTGTACGTATCTCACATATTCTTTTTTATTACTTAAAAAGTTATTACCGTAAGGTTTTGAAACTAATAAAACCAGTATAAGTATTTAAATCTCCGTCCCAATATACACTACTCAACAAAATCATCACAACACAAAATTTCATCGATATTTTGTAAATTTTTAAATGCTTTTATCTTGATCTATATTCATCGTATCGAGACGAATTGTTTTCGATTTCTTGTAAATTTTGTTTTCTTTAAATCCATACATATTATGTATAGGTTTGAGTCAATATCGAGTTAGCATAGTATTTGAGTGCAACACTAAAAGTTGATGAAAAAATTCATTGTTTAAACGTGTCCATGGACTATAGTAATAAGATTATCAACGAGTAATTTTTGCAAACTGTAGTTTGTTTTGCCAGTAGTACCGTTTGTGTACGCAAAATGCCCAAAAATTCGAGTCATTTTCAGCTAAATCAGGGAATTTACATACTTTAAATGGTACTTTGAAAACGACCTCCAGGGTGCCAAAATCGTAGAGTAGTATCGTAAAGTAGTATCGTAGAGAGTTCTATTTTTCTAAAATACTCATTGAAAAGAGTACTTTGCAATGATGTATGTTAGATTTTGATAAGCTTATTACTATAGTTCATGGACGCGTTTAAACAATCAATTTTTTCATTAACTTTAGTGTTGCACTCAAATACTACTGGTAACTCGATATTGATTTGAACTCATACATAATATATATCGTTCAAGTTTTTTCGGCACGTACCTATACATTTTGGGTAGCAATTTATCGGAGAGTTATTTCAAAATATGTAAGCACTTTTATGTTTTTCATTGGTTGTACAGTCGTGGAAATTTTTTTTAATATGAATGCAATCAAAACAAAAAAGAAATAAATAAAATGAAATTGTTTATGTCCAACTAAATTTTACCAGAGTAATAGCTTTATATGCTCACAATACATGTTGCATTCCAAAGCACGACAAAATCTCCGCCACGTTTAAAAAAATTGTTTTATGTTTTATAGGTATCTTTAAATATTACTTTATGACTTATTTTGAGTTATTTTGTGATATTTTGTGTGTCAGAGATTTTGCCCTGCGGAGATTTTATCCTAGCGGAGACTTTGTCGCAGGGGATTATGTCGGTAACCCGTTGCAATCAGTTTTTAAACGGCAAAATGTTCGTTATTATTAAGAGATTTTAATAAAAGAGAAATGTGTGTAATTTCATATTTTCATAGTGAAAACTTGATATCACTGGTTTCTATGAATAATTTTGTTTTAGAATGTGTATAAACAACCTTATTTTCGATTAATTATTTGCAAGTATATAATTTTTTTGATTTTTGATTGCCCGATGAACTAAATGGAATCAACCCAGAAGGTACAATTCATTTAATCCTTGAACATGCAGGTTTAAAGTAAAAAGAGTTGGATGGCTTTGGTTATTTGATTTATTCGAATTATATACTTAATATTCTATGTTTTAAAATCAAATCAATAATATTATCATACAAATATAATTTTTAAAGTTATTATAAATTGCTTAATTAATTTTTTAGACTGCCAGTACCATGGTTTCTGTACGGAATGATTTATGGAACGCCAGTCGAAGTTAACTCTGTTGGAATGGTCTGCAGCATTTCAATTTTATTCTGTATGCTTCTCTTCGTCATTATCAGCATAGCTACATTTAAATGGCGAATGAATAGAGGATTGGGCTTTACAATGTTTTTATTATATTTTTTATTTGTAGCAGTGTCATTAATGTTCGAATATGAAATTATTGTTTGTCCCGTATAATGAATAGGAATTTAATAGGAAAAGCGTGAGTTGTTAATTTTGTTTACAAATTTTAAATCATTGTAAATATTGTAAAAAATTAAAAGTTAGAAATTACAATTTGAAAAGTTTGTTGTTGCGAAAGTTCATGAATAAAATACGTAAGACAATGTTTTGTCTGAAGTGCTAGCGTTATTATGGTCGTAATGATTTGAAATAACATGAAAAAAATTCCATTATCTTAAGTTATGCAATACTTATAAATATTATTTACAAAAATTTGAAGAAAACTTCAAATTGTTAAACATATAACTCAAATGAATTTTACTAATATTCAGAAATCAATCAGTTTAGGTAATATTACAATAACAAACACATACTTAGTGTGTTTTTAGACAAGAGGACTTGTAAAATCATTTATTTTTAATTCCAACGTTTCAACGAGAATTTTTTTGACTTCATTAGGGGATAAAACAAAAAATAATTTTTTATAAACTATCATTTAACATAAAAAAAATTATTGAACTGAACCACAAGAACAAACCTAGTTAAAATGAGCGTTTAACTAACCACGTGATCACATGAGATGCGGGTCACCAAATGTCCAGAAAATTTTTCTGTGGCCTCCTGGTACTTAATAATGAAGCCTGCCTATGCTTAGTTTGATCCAATGGGCTCAAACTATACTGGATCGTTATCCTGTTTTTCATATTCACGATTCTACTTCATTTATCGACGGATGCTGAATCTTTTCAAAAATTGATCTCGTGAAGGCATATCAACAGATTCCTGTAGCTGAGGAGGAGATATGAAAAATAGCAATCATCACCCCTTTCGGACTTTTCGAATTTCCATTCATGACGTTTGGACTTCGAAATGCCGGTCAAACATTTCAACATTTTATGGACGAAGATGGATTGGACTTCTGCTTTGTGTACATGGACGATATCCTTATATATACTCTCGCTCTGGGTCTGAACACAGAAATCACCTCAGAATTATTTTCGAGCATATTCAAAATTACGGGCTCGTCATCAACGTTCAGAAATCTGTTTTCGGTGTTGCAGAGGTAACTTTTATCGGTAACTTGATTTCTGCTAAAGGCATTCAATCACCTCCAGAACGCGTCAAGGCCATTCGAGATAACTCTTTACTTCGTACTGCTCACGATCTTCGCAGATTCTTGGGGATGTTGAATTTCTATCGGCGATTCATTCCTCATGCTTCCTGTACAAAGCTCCGTTACATAATGCTATCAGCAAGCCATTATTGAAAGGATCGCAAGAAATTGTTTGGACCCCGGAGCTTGAAAAAGCTTTTGATTCATGCAAGAATTGCATAGCAACTGCCACGCTTCTTGTGAGCCCACGCAAAGACGCACAGCTCGCTCTCTTTACCGACGCTTCCAGCCATTCTGTCGGAGCGTGTGTACAACAACTAATAAGAGCAAGACCTGGGAACCTCTGGCATTTTTCTCCAAGAAGATGACTTCAAAAGAAAGCTCTTGGCCAGCATATTATAGAGAGATTTTCGTTATTTATGTTGCCATTCAACACTTTCGTCACATCTTGGAAAGTCAGACCTTCGCCATCTTCGCAAATCACAAGCCGTTAATTCATGCATTTCAACAAAATCACTAAAAGCTCCCGCCAATTCAATTACATCAAATTTCATTTATTGCGGAATTCTCAACTAACATCCAGTACATTAAAGGCCCCGAGAACGTTGTCGCTGATTCTCTCTCATGGATTAAGGCCATTACACAGCCTCTGAATTTTACAGTATTATCAAAAGCTCAAGAAAGTGATGAAGAATTACGTAAGCTTCTTGAAAATAATGAATCTTCGCTTCGATTCGAGCAGACACTCGTTCCCGGTACTGCGATCAAGATTTTCTGCGACACGTCAACTGGTAAATCTCGACCATTCGTTCCCGCAGTATATCGTCGTCATATTTTCAATCAACTACACAATTTGAGCAATCCTGGTGTCAAATCCTCTGTCAAGTTAGTCAAAGATCGTTTGGTTTGGCCGTTCATCGACAAAGATTGACGCACTTGGGCACGAGCTTGTCTAGATTGTCAAAAATCAAAGGTGTCAAGATATGTGCGATCTCCTCTTGGAACTTTTTAGCAACCAACAGGCCGCTTTGCACACATTCACATAGAGATAATTGGCCCTTTTCCATCTTCACAGTCATTCAGATATTGTCTTACGGTCATAGATCGCTTTACTCGATGGACAGAAGTGCATCCTATGACAGATAATAGCAAAGAAACGATCATTCAATCTCTTTTGACTTGCTGGATCTCACGGTTGGGTTTTCTTCGGGTAATTACTTCTGATCAAGGAGCTCAATTCACTTCTTATTACAAGAATTTTTGAAGTTTTTCGGCGTCAAGAACAACCTAACATCAAGTTGGCATCCATCATCCAATGGCATGGTCGAGCGTTTTCACTGTCAACTAAAAGCTGCGATCATGGCACCAAGGGTAAACTGGTTTATTCTTGCCTCTCGTATTGTTGGGTATTCGTTCATCTTTCAAAGACGACTTGAAGACGACCTCAGCTGAACTTGTATACGGAGAAGCATTCCGTCTTCCAGGAGAATTTTTCGACTTGGGTTCTTCGACAGCGAGTCAATGCGATCCACGATGTCTTCTGTCGTCTTTGCGAAAAATTATGTTGCATCTGAAGCCCGTTCCTGCATCTGCGCATGGCAACCCGGTTGTGTTTGTACAAGAAATTTGAAGAACTGTAGTCATGTCATTTTAAAGGAAGGCATGTTTTGAAAGCTCTGCAGTCGCCGTATACTGGTCCATATGAAGTCGTTAAGAGAGACACGAAGACTGTGACTTTGAAAATTCGAGATAAACTTCAAACAGTTTCGGTCAACCGTGTTAAGGGGACACACCTGTGTTTATACCTATAAATAAAAAACATGAAAATTGAGGATTACTATTACAATTTTTTGTTTCTGATGTAAAAATATGTTTTTATAGGTCCTTTTACAACAAAAAAGATGTCTCTTGTTCCTCTTATTATTGAAAATCATCCATCAAACAAGTATATTGACTTGTGATTTCTAAGTCATTGACCGCATGATTTTGAATGCAATTTTTTACCAATTCGGATCCTTGCTGTCTCAAAAGTTTTGTAATAAAATTCTTTTCAACTTAAGGGGACACATACACCTTAAACTCGAAAATTTTTTTATTGCTTTATTGAGTAGGATTTTTCCGTCCCTTTCCATTACTTTTTTCGAAATTCCAAAATTTAGATTTTGCCCTGAGATACAGCTGTTTCCGTGAACCCTTTTCCTATACTTCACGTGTTAAATTTTTTCTTCTTTTGCGTTTTCTGGCGAATAGTGTTTTTGGTTATCTATCGTAACTTTCAGAGGGTACCAATTGAGCTTCAGCACTAGGGTCGCGTACACTTCTTCAGAACATCAATGGTTACGGTCACTGACTCCGATGAGTCCACTGTTTCCTACAGAAACGAAAGTAAATATATGAGTCGCATAAAAAGTGTCCTCACGCTAAAAATTATTGATACAAGTAAATTAGTGCTTTTCAGGGTCGTAGCATCTTTCACGTTTAATGTAAATAGTGTCCCTGACAGTTTTGAGCATATAAGTTACAATTAAAATTATCTGTGACAATCATATTCGAATATACCATTGCAATACTTAAGTATGAACTATTGCTTAATCAGTGGACTCATCCTTGTGAGTTATTTTTCATAGATCATTTTTTGACTTGAGCGCTTATCGCATATACATCCCTGCAATCATAAACTTTGAATTGTTTTCCGCCACGCTCCGCCATAGTCAATCACGCGTTTTGCGAAAGGTATAGAGCCCTCTTAATCCGTGCCCGCGCTTGTCGTTCCTTTGGTCGTAGCTTATCTTAAGAGCCTGTACTCGAGCAGTTGTAGGCGATATATGTGTGCATGTGATTTTCTACGAATATGCGTGTTCCTTGGCCAAAAAGTTACTTGCGTGATATAATGGTTTTCGCTCTTCAGTTTGCGCGCGTGTCTGCACTTAGTATGTCTGCTGTGCAGGGATGTCTCCTGCACGCGCAAGCCGGCCTGTGTGTGTGGTCTTGCTTACGCGTGCTCATACCCAAGCCAGAGTATCTATGTGTGCGCTCTTACTTATGCGCACGCACACTCATACCAAGGTGTGTTTATGTACGCGGTTACACGTGTTTATACAGCGGCCTGCTGTATGCGCTGGCCGTCTGTTATGGGCTAGACGTAACACTAGAATGTGACGGGAAATATACCATATTTTCCTCGACACAACGATATCTCCGAAACTCGTATGTCTTGATAGATTGCGACTAACATACATACACTTTCATACACACACACGCGCGCGCGCTAAATGTTCCTCACTTGGAACTAGTGAAATGAGGAAATAAAGTAGCAATTAAAATTAAAAGTTTTTATTCACCTTTTCTGTACGAGGGTATAAACTAGACTTACTCGAAAATCCTCGATCGACCATCGAACTAGAACAAAAAATTATCGCGACATTGTTATTTCCGTGGCAACGCGCGCGCGCCGAACGTAAACTAAAGGAAACGCGAAAACTACTAATAAAGCCTGAGGAATGCCGGTTTGACGTACTGTGCTAAGCTTTTATCTTAGCATAGTCGTGATATCTATGCTCGACATATAATTCGTTTTTGCCATCCATATGGACCCACATCCCTGACAATCGAATCATTGAGTCTGCATGCTTCTCATACAGTGGGGCCCCAAGCCATTAATTTGTATTTGATAATAAGTTATAATTTCAATATAACTTACATTCCTTCATTTAAGCTAATTATTATTTCCGTAATGATTTATTCAGCCTCACCCAAATAACTTTACATGAATTAATTACAAAGCATGAAAATAAACTCCAGTAAGTAACGTTCAAACATTCAGTGTCTTTTCTCTTGTTAATCGCTGATTTATTTTTATAAAACATTTCTGCGATTAGTCTCTTATACACTAGACCCAATCTAATTCTGTCCGCTGGAACGCCGGAATTCCAATGCTTATACACGTTCCACTACTCTGTGAACCGGGCAAAATTAGATTGGGTCTAGTGTACCAGTGGCTCTTCATGTGCGAAATCCTAACGTTTTCAAAATCAAACTCATGTCATTGCTAATAGAATCCTAACCTAATACAACAATATCATTAATCTTATTATCAATAGAATAAATAGAATTGACGCGAACTTTCTTAAGGGGAGGGGGGTAGGGTCTTGTTCGATGGTTTTCGAGCTGCATTTTAATCAATTTTTTGAGCGTATAGTAAAATGAATTTATCTATAAATTATATACATTATAAATGGTTATTTGAAGAACATTCAGTTCAATTTTCAGCTGAAAATAGCGAAGGTGAAATTAACGAAATATGGATTATAAGGTAACGTCACAATAAACCGACTTCTATCGTGCGAAACTGAATTGTTAAGTGTTCGTAAATCATGCCTATGACGTACACTGTAAATACTTTTTTCCAAAAACATCTCGAAATGGGATCAGGATAAGTATTTTGAAAGCAACAACGTCTTATCCACGAGATAATAGATCGTGTTGACTTTTAACTATTTCGGATGGTTAGAAGTTAAGTTGATGGTTTACCGTAGAGAAAATGGGAAGTCGCTGGTCTATTTCACCGTGAAATCCTCTGGTTTCCCTCTCGTACACTTGAACCGACTCGCACCACCACTCCCGTTCTCAATCCTGCTGAAAAAAATCATGAAGAAAATCATATGATGTTTTGGCATGATTAATCATATGATTTTTCCCAGCAAGGGAAGCAAATCCTTATTTTAATATAAAAACCATTGAAGAGGAAGTGCCAAAATATAATTTAAAGTCTGAATTTATTAATTTCATTGAATTCAAATTCGAATTTGAATCATCAAGCTGACTGAATTTGTACCGTTTTGTAAAAGATTAGCATCGATATTTTCTTGATGATCATATAGCATATAATAGTTATATCTGAATTTACATGCTTACTACTTTTATAATTCACTTCAAACTCTTTTAAATTATTCAAATTGGTGTGCTCTAAATGTACATTTTTTTAGTTATTTTCAAAAGTAGTTTCTTCATTTTCAATTACATTAATAAATTCAGACTCTAAATCATGTTTTGGCACTTTCTTTTCAATGGTTATTATATGAAAATAAGGGTTTGCTTCCCTTTCTGATAAAAATCATATGATAAATCATATGATTAATCAAGTCAAAACATCCCATGATTTTTTTCAGCAATTAAGGCTTCCCGATCCACACCATACTCACGATCGACCTTAAAATTTTCTAGCCTGCATGCAACTACCAAACTAAGTCTCCAACTCATATGTTCATTGTTCGTAGACCGACTTATAGGCACGTTTACTTTTTGTCTTGTCACTTGAACTAAATTTCAATTTTACGAATTGAATTATGTTACTTCAATGTTTTACGTTTTGTTCTAATAATTTAATTATTTTCAAATCTAGGTTTTGTCTTATTGTCATGTCACGATAGACTTCCCTGTGTTTACCGCACAGATGGGCTTCCTCTTGATTTGGTAGACTTTGCCGGTGAAACGGTGCGCCAGACGAGCAATTGTTCGTCGTCGAACAGAGTCCCACCTAGCTAGAAGGAAGGGGTGGGCAAAAAGACTCGTTAAACTTTGGGTCGGGGCACGACTCACCTCCGAGAGGGGGTGCCGACAGGTAATGGAGCGGGGTCTCCATTAGTCTGCACAGCACTGCACCTAAAAACCTGGCAACCGAAATGCATACGTGAGAGAAAGGAAGAAATGACAAAGGAAAAATTTAATGATTACACACGAAATGTACGATTGTACAGAAAAACTTTATTAAAATTAGAATAATCGGTCTCTATCGTGCTTTCATACGACACTCTGGGAACACGCTGCTCCTACACATTCACACACACAATTGAATTGGGTACGCGAGCTGCGTTAGCGCGTTAGGGCTCGTACGGAGGCACAAAGAAATAATCGAGATAATTCACGTTGTTGCCTCGCAATTGAGGCTAAGGACCACATGGATATGACGCAAGTCACCTGGGTTTTACGTTGCTGCGAGGAAGATCTCCAAGTCTGCTTTGCCACAGCCGTATAGCAGATGACTGGCCGACGTTTGCGCTTATTCGTCGAGGCGTAGTTGGGGAGGCTTGATGCTCTGCGGTCATCGCCAGCACTCACACTTGATGACCAGAGTACCAAGTACACCAACAAATGCACACACGCACACACCTCAATACACTCCCTCTCTCTATCCACAGACCGTAGTAAAACTCTCCAACGTACTCAAAAATTACAAAGACACGCGAGGCTAATGTTACGGAACTCTGCACTGTATCGAAGGCAGCTAACAAGTTACTCTGGTCCTCACTCTATCACTGCTCAAACTCGAATCATGGTCATCTGCACACACGTGCGTACACCGATCCTCGCTCTAAATTCGCCACGTGTAGCCGGGCACGGGCCGCTCGCATAGTCGCGTGGTACTGCACTTGCGAGAGGCCACCGTGATATCGGCTACAATCGTCACGACTCTCTCACACATTTACACGAATACTCCGAATTTCACGCGTCTATGACGCGTCGCTTGCACGGCTCGAATATCGCCTATTGCACATCGTCACAATTGATTAATCTTCGAGCCTCTTCGAACTACAAATGCCGTACCTTACCGGGAAGACATCATTATTTATTCGAGGTATTAATGCGAGGTCGAGTATGATGTCACTAATTAAAATATAAGACTTGAAATTAAAAGCTCGTCACTGCGCTTTTTTTCATGTGCATATTTTGGATGTCTTCGAAAAAGATAATATTCCCAAACTTCTGCGAAGGTAGAGCGTACGTAATAATGGATGCGTGCATGGGCGGGTCTCTCAATAAAAACATGGTATGTGTGGTATATTTTACAATTTTTAGTATTTTCTTCTTTTCACACTGACTACTCTTAAAGTACGTAAAAAGTAAGTATTTAATAAATTTATTGTTAAAAGTTGTTTCAATTACGGTCGTGTACACTTATATTTTTGATGACTTCACGATGAGCAGTCCCAGGGTAAATAATAATATTAACTGTTTATTTTCCGCGCTTAAAGTTATATTAATTTATAGCACTGTGTGGCATAAGTTAACATTGATGGCACGCTTTTTTGGGGCATAAGTCGCACATTCTGGCACCGCGTCGCTCCTATCACACTCGCGTGTCATAATTCATAATTACACGTCTTCGACATTTTGCAAGCAGCCGAGTGTGAGAAAATCGGAGCACTTCACGAAAGCATAGAGTTGAACTTTCCACTCTGGGAAATCGAGGTGAAGCACGTGAGTTTATATTGATACATGGGAAGGCAAATCTTGCCACAATTTTTGACACCACAAAATTATACTAAAAACTTATATGCACTGCTGAAAAATGATAAGGACAACTTATTAAATTTTGTGAACAGCCAGAAATTAAAAGTTTATTGTAACAAATACATAACATTGTGAAATAAATATAGGAAAATTTACATACATATATAATTTCTAAAAGTACTATCAAGTCCTTTATATCAATATTTTTATTTTGTTTATTTTTAATTTCGTTTATTGGTTTTAATGCAGGGTTGGCGAGCAGAGCTCCCCCAAGTATTTTTATATTTTTAGAATATCACCGACAAACCCCGAATTGACTTTCAAATTATAGGAACTTCCTAAATTTTTAAGGTAAAATGTTTAGGCAAAAGGCATATTGCCTTATTTATTTTAGGTATTTTTAATAAGGATGTTGTAACTGATTTAATTCAGCTTTTCTTGCTTATAAAAGAAAATGAATCGTCGTCAAAACAAAGCCATAATAAAAAAAATGATACTTTAAAACTACATCTTTTAAGTTTTTGGTTCTCAATATTCTTACTACTTCTCTACATAAATTATTAATGAGTAAAATATAAGCGTACAAATCAGAGTTATTACTTTTAACCAAGCCAAAAAGAATAAAGCAGCAAAAAAAAATACTTTCAATAAAATAGAGAAAATTCTTAGTCATTTTTTTTCCATATATTTTTTGTATTTTGACTATGTGTATCAATTTTATTGGAAAAAAATTGTAGCAAACATGTTTCTTATATTGTTCAATTTGGTAAAGTATCAGGAAACATGCTTTTTAATAAATTAAATTAACTATAACTTCGAAACACTTCTTGAATCGATGTTTCCAACTGCAAATACGTTACTTGGATCCAGATAATTTTTCATGGCTTTATATAATTGTAGACCAGTTTTTCCAACTGTATTTGGATAAAATTTAGCTCTCATTTTCCCTATTCCATGATGATGAGAAATACTACCACCAGAAGCAAGAATTTCTTCTCTTGCTGATTCTTCTATAACTTCGTAAATATAAATAGGATTTTCAATCATTTTGCAATTAAATCCCATATAAAAATAAATGCAGCAACCAGAATCATATGTTTGAGTTAGTCGACAAGAAATAAGGAAGTGATTAATTCCATATTCATGACATTTATTTTTAACTTTAGTTTTCACATTTTGACACAAAGCTGAGGCTCGATTCCAAGGAACTGATGTCTCGAAACTTTCAGCTAATATTTGATACTTAAGACCGAGATCTCTAATGTAAGCAATAACAAAAGTTAAAACATAACCTCGTTTACCATTTGACTCTCCAGCAGGAATACCTCCGAAGCACTTACTTATTTTAGTAATTTTGAGCTCTTGAGTGTTGATATCTGATTCGGTTTTTGCCTCAAAAAGAAGAGTTGCTACACATAAATCTTCCCATTTGAACTGTTTAACGTATGAAATATAAGAATGTTTAATAGAATTCATAATACTATTTTTCCAATTCATAACTGGTTGTAGAGTTTGACCAAATTTAAATTGTTCATTATCCATTAATCGAATACTTGCAGGCTGGCATCGTTCTTTTGCAACCTGATTAATATTAATGATTCAATTAATTTACGATAATATAATCAAATATTCAGAAGTTATAAAATATAAAGAAACTATTCAATTAAAAAATTATTAATTATGCGGATCTTTCAATTTAAAAAATCAAGTATAATAGTCGAATAACTATTCAAATTGAAACAGCATAAACCATTTTTTATCTTTCCACTTACGAGGAATTTATTTTCTAAAATATCAGAAATAAAGTTTTTTTAGAATGAGGAAATCTATAGGTTTAAATACAGCTGCCTAGCTAGCAGAGATTTTATACAACTATAGATAATTAAAATTTTGTTTTTCAGCATGTTTTATTCCTTTATCCACCATGTTTCGCAGGAGTAAATTGGAACTTCGCGAACTGGAGGAGAACATAAATAAATAAATATCAAATAATGCTTAGAATAACAAAATTTTTCCTCGCTTGAAAATTCGATTTTTTTCCATGTTTAGGATCTTGAAAAGACTTTGCACATACATTACTTGACGTAAAATTTAAGCCCCTTTTTGAAATCTGGGCTTATATTTAAAGATTCAATGCTTAGTTGAAACGCTATGGTTGTTTAAATAAAAAACAACCATAAAAATTTCTGCAAAACATCAACTGGCATGAAGTCAAATGTTCATGATTATGATTAAGCAAGAAAAATTAATGTATAGGTAAGATTGTATGATTTTTTACTCGAAATACAATTAAGTTTAGAGAAAAGATTTGTAAACAAAAAACTCTTGAAACTTCGTTATTCTGGGCGTTAATGCGTCTACTACCGAATTGATCTTTATAAATTAATTGATATTTCGGGGCGCGTAAAAAGGTAAGAAATTGACTTTAATTTTAATTGAATCAGAATTTAATCGTTATTCAATCAGGAAATACTGAATTGTTCTATTTTTAATGAATGATAGTTTGGAATATTACCTCTCTTAGCGCGTCAACACCTTTTTCAAAATCAGGAAAAATTATACTTCCATATTTTGTGACAGCAGGAATAGGCCTTATTTTAAAAATTATTTCAGTGATGATACCCAAAGTTCCTTCACTTCCGATGATGAGGTGTTTGAAATCGGGTCCACAAGATATGCGAGGAGATTGACTATTTTGTTCTAAGGTCATTTCTAATTTTTCTTTTCTTCCAGTAACCATGCGAATTTTAATAACCAAATCTTCAATATTCCCATAAATATTTTTTTTCATTCCACTAGCTTTTGTTGCAACCCATCCACCAAAGCTGTAAATGAATTATTTTTTATTTTTCTGAAAAGTGTATTAAAATTATCGTAGCCAATAAGTTAGAATAATTGTCCTATATTATTTGCTGGATTTCCTCAAAGTTTCATCAAATATGACTTGCTTGTCAAGAAATTATGGCGTAAAGCTAAAAAGAAGCTTAAATTTGGAGAAAAAATATTGTAATATTTTTTTATTTTTTGTGGAGAATACTCTTGAATGAAGAAATATCCCTAGCTTTTGAAAATATTTTTCAGAATTCTAAATTTCTAATTTTTTCCGTAATTTGCGTGATTTATTGAGAAGTCTACTAATTCAAACTAGTTTTTGAAACGTTTTATCACTTTTTTACAATAGATAGTAAGTAATCTGCATCAACTAGAAAAAAAGTTCAACTGTCTGTTGCAACCCTCGTGATCGAGCCATACTTTTACTGACTAACCCTTACATACCTTTTTATGACCTATGGGACGAAACTACTTTAGAATTACTTTTAATCCGTTGTCACGATCCACTTATACCGATCAAAAGCTACAGAGTAGCCAGTCAAAATCATTTCATTTCTCATTCATGCTCACTCAGGGATCCATTACACAGGCACACAAAAAATTTTTTCAGAACTAGAGACCAGACCAAGTGGTTTTATGTTTTTGGAGTAGCTGAATCCGAATCCAGCGTCAATTTTTCACTATCATATCGATTTAAGGTTATTTTAAGGTCATTAAAGGTCAAATCATGAAAAAAAGATTAAAAAATCTGAAACTATCCCTATGTACGATCTCTGCTGTCCCATAAGAACTTAAAACATCGGTACTTTGTAAATCCAGATTTATGTCCTGCTGATGGGAGGGGGGCTAACATAGAGGAACTAAACGCAAACGGCAACCTTCACGCCGATCGTTTAAAGAAAAAAAGGCGCGTTACAAAAGAAAAAAAGTAAAAAAGCATGCAAAATTAGCAATACATCATAAATTTTTGACCTCTTTTAATTAACTTGACCTTGAAATGACCTTGAAATGACCAGGTATAGTCCAAATAAACTTTGATTCAGATTAAGCGACCCTCAAAACATATATGTGATTTTTTCGGATTTTTATATGGAATTCTCTAAGTTAGACCTTCAAATGACCTTGAAAGTAAGGTCGTCGAGGTCATCTGACTTCAGATTTGAATTCAGCATCCTCGTAAATCTATATAGGGATAGTTTCAGATTTTCAAACCTTTTTTCATGATTTGAAATTTAAATGACCTTCAAATGACCTTAAATCGATCTGATGGTGTAAAACCGACGCCGGATTCAGATTCAGCGACCCCAAAAACATTAATTCCTCTGGGTCTGGTCTCTAGTACTAAACTTTTTTTTGTGTGCCTGTGTAATTTTAATTTGATCGATATGTTCACTGTAATAGTTATTAAGTAAATTCAATAAATTTAGCATGCCACGAGTGCCCCTTGTCCGCTCTCTTACGTCTATTGTGCAAGTCAGGTATTAACCTATTAATAGGTTAATATTTCTTCAAACAAGAAATAACTCATTTTCAAATAAAACATAACTGATTTTTTACTCGAAAACTATTAAGTTTAGAGAAAAAGTGCACAAAACAAAAATTTGAAAAGTGGTTCAAAAATTCCATAAAAATTCCCTGAGATACTTTGATAGTCGTGATCACCCCTGATTTTATTTATATCATGATTCCTTAACGTTATCATGGCGAAAAAAAATTTAAAACTTGATTTTTTGCAAAAATTTTTACGTTTTTTTTGTTTAAGTAACTATAACTTTTTTATTACGTCAAAAATCAAAATTTTGAGCTCAGTTTCTTAAAAGGCATACAAAAAAATCGTTGCGAAAACCAACAAAAAAATCAAGCATTTTGGTCGTTAATGGATTAATATGGGTCCAGGAGAGGCTAAAATTCAGTCTCGTCACATTAATCGAGTGCGTAAAATCGCGATCTTTATACTAGCGCTAATTGCCTAATTTTTGGTTAAGTTCACTAAACCTAGTTGAATAGCTAAATCTAATTCAATATTTAAAGTAACGTCACACGAGACTCAGTTTAACTCGGGCATTACAGGGGGCCACCACGTACACCAGTAAGTTTGACTCTTGTACTTTTTTTCTTCCCAATTATACAAAGAAGTCTTTAGTACTTATACAACAATCGTAGCGCTTTAGTACGTACAGAACAATCGTAAATTCTCTATTTAATCAAAACACAAACCTTAAGCTATTGGAGTAAAACCTAAGCTTAAAAATCGTATCTCTTTTTTTATCGCTGACATAACTTCACACAGAAAATCTTGAAGTTTGTGTTACAATATCTCTAATGCACAAATATCATATTCACACCTTTTTTTTTAGAAACTTAAAATTCACTCGCTCGGACAAGTGATAAATCGTCCAGGAAGATTTAAATAATCTTCTAATAATATTTCAAAGAATACATCATTTGTAAAATTTGATTTTGAAAAATTAACTTCGAAATTTTTATCGATATATAAAAGCAAAGAAAGGAAATTCAAAAATACTTTACCTAGAAAATTCATAAGAATCAGGTTCATGTCCAGAAGTGAAATTATTTTTTCTCAATTCTCTTTCCAAATCTTGTCCGATTATTCCAGCTTCACAACAAGCTAATAAATTATCTGCATCTATCCATAATATTCTATTCATAAGAGAAGAATCCAAGCAGAGGATACTTCTAGTTTCATGAACAGGACAATTTGCTGCTCCACTAACAGATGTACCACCACCGAAAGCAATACATACAATATTATTATCTAAACAACTTTTCACAATTTGCACAACATCATGATGACATTCTTGAAATAAAACGATATTACATTAATATCTTGTAAGGTATGCAAACAGTTTGAACTTAAATTATCAAAAAGTTGAAATCGTTTCTCATTTAGTTCTTTTTCAAAATTTAGGGTAAATATTCTACTTCTCCTGAACAAAAAAGAGGTCCAGGAAATCTCTGCAAGAATTTCCTCAGAAAACCTTGGTATTAGATTATTCGCTATCAAGGTGAAATTAAAATAAAAATTAATATCGGGTATGCAAGGCTGTACCCAAAAGGAACATCAGAGCCGTACCAATAACTAAAAAGATTTGCAGCACAATTTTAAACTTATCACCCGAATTGTCTAAGTTCATGTTTATAAAATAAAAATACAAATTATCTACAATTAAAAGTAGAAGTAAATCAACGTTTTACCGCTTGATACATGACTTCATCAGGACTGAAAATTACATAAATATTTATTGGAACAACATAAAGTGGTCGAACATTAAAATTTTAGATTATGAGAGTAATTTTTACAGAAAAAAAATTACAGAAATCCTACATATTAAGGAGGCTGTAGCGACCTAAGGTGCACTTGGGTTGCGCTGCACCGCAGTGCGTTGCGCGGCACACTGTAGACAGCAGCGCCTGCTTCATCTGTGCTCATATTTACATGCAGAGTTATACAGTTTACGTCGTGTGACTCGGTATGGCTGCGGTAGCATTTTTCAAAAAATTATAACTTTTTTATTTGCCTGGAAACACATTTTTTATCATATTATTCGAAAGCTAATGAAATTTTCTATAACATATATTAATTTCATTAATTTGTAAAGTGATTTAAGCTCACAGTATAATAAAAACTGCCCCTTCCCATTTGATTCAATGTTAAATGGCCAAAACTTTGAATTTCATTATTTCACAAATTTGCATGGAAACCCCAAATTTTTTTACCAAAAATCTTGTAATTTCATAAACCATCATTGGTTAAAATTTCACTTCGATCTAAAGTTTTTTTCATTTTCGCTACAGCCTCCTTAACTGCACCAAAAATACGTCAAGCAGTCAAGAAGACACGGAACTCTTGAATGACATTCATTTTAAAGTTTTAAAACATTATTGTCTGTATATGTGTAGTGTGATTAGTGCTGATTGTAATAGAACGTACATCTGAAGAATATAAATATTTATATAATGTTCAGCTCTGATGAGGCCGAGTATCAAGCGATGAAACGTCAAATCATTTCTATGTTTAATAGCTTGTTTCTCCACACAGTGGATACAATTTGACTATGCGCCTCACTAGTGACTGGTCGCCCACATTTTTTTGTATTACGTTGATTCTTAAATTACTATAATTTTTACAATTAAAGATATTATTATTACGCGTGTGATTCAATCATTCAAAACCTCCCATGAACAGAACACTTGCCAAATAATAATGACATTTATGACTCGAGTTTTTCGTGTAGAAATTTCATGTGAAGGAATTTCTTGTATTTTTGCATGATCCCTATAGTAATTTCGCACTTTACCACAGGATACCTACATGAATTTTTTATTTTTACGCAGGATTCAAAAATTAAAATTTCTGCAGGAATCTGTCAGAAAAGCGCAAAATTCTCATAGATATTTTGCAGGAATTCCATTACTGATCGGTCAATTTTCATATAGGATTTAAGATTGATAGTAACAAATAATGTTGCTATTTGCGTTTTATTTATTTATTATAAAAGAACAATTTATTGCATTTACTATTTAAATATTAACATGATCAAAATCGGACAAATTAATCTTTTGTCGGAATTATTAAAATTTCTAAAACTCGACTCATAGGCGTCATAATTATTTCTGCAAGAAATCTTCAGAATAATAAGATGCGAATTCACATATGAAAAATCCTCCAGGACTCCTGTAGAACTAATTCAGGATTTTTTGTCGGAATTCTTGCAAAACTTTCCCAAATTACTGTTTCGGATGGAGAAATAGTTTAAGGCGATGTAGTTTGAACAGAGGTCTTATTTAGAATGAATTAAAAGAGCTACCAACAAGAACGAACATACAATAAACGAGATTTGAACAAAAGTGGTTGCGCGGTAACAGCTGTATCTCAGTGAATGATCAAAATTTTGGAGTTTTAAAAAATGCAAAGAAAAGGGAACAAAAAATCCTACTCAAAAATAAAATTTTTTTCGATTTTAAGCACCCTTTGAGCCCTTAATTAAACCAGACGAAATATGTAAGTCAAATCAAGTTGTGCTCGTGGTTCATCGCCAACTGACAATGTCAACATATGCACGGTGTTTACAAATGATATAATCATGCTAGCTACATTCATACAATTCAGTAGTTCATAGTGGAGATTATGTTTACACTATCTTTCGGGCAAGATCCGAGTGGGATTAGAACATGATTACCCCCGCTCTACGGACCGGATCGCTAGCTTGATACGGGCCAGATGATCAGATCAGACTTTGCTCAGGCTTTTTCCGATCGGGAGTGGTAATATTGATGCTTAGCTCAAGTGGTAGGGAGTTAGACTTGTAACCGACTGATCATCGGTTTAAGCCCCGGTCTCAGAAAAATGTTATCGACTTTTTCCCATTCCATAAATTATCATTTTACTTCTTTGGAATTATTCAAACAAAAGTACGAGGAATTTCGTTTGTTTTTTAATTTTTTTCAATTATTTAACCTTTTGTTAATGACGTTTTTTTGGAAATCATTGCATACTAAAAAAGTATCTCGGCTGTTCGTAAAAAATACTTTTTTTGTGTTAGTATTCGATATATTTATTATGTTCTTCGTGTTTCGAGACTCGTGTGAATGTGATTGCGTTTAATTGTAAGTGTAATTGTATTACGAGCTATGTGATGTACTGATTGGTGTCACAGAGAATTTTCATTGTTATCGGCTTGACCCCGCAGTCTCAGACTGTGAGAGAGACTATACAGTGTACGAGCCGCTCACTGCAGTACAAGCTACTCTTACGTCACATGAATTAGGTCTGTGCTTCTTTTCACCTTCTCTCCGTGAAAATTCACACAACGGCAATCTGGAAGGTTATTTTTATTCGAGAAAAGAATGTCAAATGATAATATAAAGGGGCCTTCCATTAATTACGTAAGGGTCCTTCCTTGTTCGTAGTTGCCGTTTTCGACGGTGAGCGTCACATTTTCTAGCATGTCAGTTGATGGTTAACAAGTTGTTTTTCTACCTTACTGTCTCTTCAATATTCCACGTAAAAGAAACTGACGTTCGTAAATGAGCAGACGTGATACACAGTTTCACGACACGTTCTCTTCGTTATTGAGTGTAGTGAAAAATGCCGTCGTCAGGAAAAGAATTGTTTGACAAGCATTATAATGCTTATTTGAGAGCATATCTCATGGTTTAGAAACAGGAAAACCAAAAAAGTGCATACACGTCTGAAATTTAGCAAAAAAAGAGTACAAAGATGCCAGTCAATTCGAAAAATTTATCGAAGAACGAATCAACTCGTTCCTAAGAATCAACGAGCTCCTAAGAATATACAAAAGTCTTTTACAAACTATTTTGCCAAGGTATTTTTATAAAATTTTGATATTTTTTGTAATTCATTATAAACTTTATTGCATGTTCAAAATTTCAATTAAGGTTAGGTTGTAACTTTTATTATTACTGTGTAGAAGAAGCCGATTCAATCATTCTGAAAAAACAGCAATTCGAGTCAATTATATTATCAATGAGCATCATATCTGCACCATATTTTTATAAGATGAATTTTAATTTTCAGAGTTCTACGTCTAATTTAACAATTTCAGCGAATAAGCAGCCAGCCGTTAATCTAAAATCGTCGACAAATGCGAAAAACATTGATATACTTAGCTCAGAAACCAGAGAAGATTCAAATTTAGATGTTTCTTGTAAATTCGCGAGTGAACAGAAGAAAGACGTCAACCTTAAAAGAAAATATGTAACTCCTTTTCAAGATGAATCAAAATTAAAAATTCAAGCTCTCCGCAGCCAACATCATTGACGTTGATAAAAGATTCTAATCTTGTAGGAGATAGTATCAATCAAGATATTAAAAAGCCAAAATACAAAAAAAAAAATTAGAGCTAAGGAAAAAAAAAGAAATTATTGACCCAAAATAATGCTCAAGAAAAAAATGAAGACGCGTCTATAGAAAATGTTCAGCTCCAGGTGGGACGACCGTGAAAAGAAGTTGAGTATCCTGAACTCTTAAAAACTATTTGCAAAATAGCTATTTTCAATAGTTCGTCGGACGAACGTTGCCACACAGAAGAGATTCAAACGTTTACGAAGTTGCAAGACTTGACCAAGGCTTTAAATGATAAATGTTTTAAAATTTCTCAAAGTGCTGTGTACACTCGATTGCTGCCTAGACGCTGTAACACGCTTGAGGGTATGCGCCATGTGCGAACTTTACCAGTCAGGATTTGCAAGCCGCAAAATGATTTGCACAAAAGCCATCCTAATGGCAAATTTTGTTCGTCAACAATACAAAATGTAGACACTTTAGCGGCATTTTTAGGGCCAAAGTGGCCTACTTATCACAAGATGATAAAGCTCGGGTGAAGATTGGTGTTACAGCAATCGTGCAAGCTTATGTACCTTGAATATCGCATAAAATTGCCTGACCATGATTGGGCCGTTGCGGCCAAACACACGCTAATCCCACTAGGTTCGGTCTCTGGAAATGAAGATTTTTTTGTACCTGTGTAATCAAACACAATGGATATACATTCATAAATAATTAAGCTTTTATTACTCTAATCACTAAATGGCTACCACAATTTCTCCCGGTATAATACTACATCACGATCGTCTCTTACACGCCACACCACTATAGTTTAGGGTGTACCCTTTTTTTAAATAACTCGAATAAAAAAAATAAAATAAAAGATATCGCGAGAGCCGAGTGAAAAACTGTTAGATAGTGTGTTTTTGCAGATCTGTGCAAAAGATGAGTGCTGAAATCGAAAATTTTCAGCTCGGGGTAGATCCCTGAACTCTTCCTGTGGGAGAGAAAAGAATCGCAAAGCTTTTTATCTGCTTCATGCTGCTTCATTCGAGTTATTTAAAAAAGGGGTACACCCTACTATACATGCATGCGCATCTTAATATCTCTTGGTCGATACATTTACCGCCGCTCGACTGGCCTCCACAAAGATGTTATGAATTTATTTCATATTTTTAAATTACTAAAATAGTAATGATTTGTACTTACTTGGCCAGACAACTATATCAGGTATTTTTGTAATTTTTCCCATTTTGAGATCAGCGATTTCCCTGAGTGAGTGTCCATGAGCTCTTATTAATCGATCAATGCCGTGAAGAGAGTAGCTGATACCGAATTTTTTTATTTCTGATACAAACTGATTGCTCATCATAGGATATGGAAAAATCATTGGTAAATCTTTTTCTTCTTTGATGTCATTCAAGTCAATTTTGAAAACATTTTTTACCCATTCGGTAAAAAGTGGTAGTAGATTGCTACCGATAGAGTACCTACATGAATAAATTGAATATCATTTCAGATTTCTTATCTTTTATTCAGCAAGGCTAATATTTTATTAGATATCCAAGTATTTTCTATGGTGTGGAAACGTTATTCATGCAATGATGTGCAGTAAAATGCCTCGTTTAAAATGAAAGTTTTTTTTTTTTTTTTATTTATAGTGCTTGCGCCCGTTAAGGCATTGCACTTACTTTAATTTTAATATTATTTAAAAATTACAGAAAAACTTTACAGATTTGCAAATTATAGACAAGTATAACAAGTACAGACAAGTATAACAAAAAAGTGCAACAATTCAATGAGCTAAGAAAATGAGAAACGGATGGTTCTTGTTACACTTTGATCCCGCACTCGTCGAAGAAGCTGCAAATGATCTGACAGGCCGCGCCAGCAAGCTTTCCACGTTGTATGGGGGAAACAGTTTGATCTTAAAAAGCTCCCTGATCATTTTCTTCCTCTGAGCCTCTAGTAGTCCGCAATTCCACAGGACGTGATTGAGGCTCTCCTCCTCACGGTCACACCTGCAGCCGGGGTCCGAGATTATATTTTTCCTTTCCGCTTTTTAAGACTCCGCGAGACTGGTGTGGTTAGCCCTCATCCTGTTCACCCTCGTGATAGTCCGCCGGGGGAGCTTGGACTCCCTGAACCACGGCGCCGCGCTCTCGCTATGGTAAAAGTCGAAGTAGATCTTGCCTTTCGATTGACTGTCGGTCTTGTTTGCTGCCGCGGTGTTTTGTCTCGCTTCTTGGGCGAATTCCGCTGCCAGGTCTGACCAGAGGACCTGAGACTCACGAGGGGGCTCCGACAGAGTTGCTTCCCTCGCTAAGGCGTCCGCCTCCTCGTTGCCTTCCAGGCCTATGTGCGACGGGACCCATAGCAGTTCCACCTCTTTTTTCCGGGAACCATCCGAGAGATCGGAGATTTTTCTTCGTATTTCTAGTACGAGCCCCATTGTACCCTTGCTTGAACGAAGTGAGCCAACGCCGAGTAGGGCGCTGAGAGAGTCGGAGACAATCACAAACTTGTCCCCGTCCAGTCCTGCAATATACTCCAGGGCTCCGATGATGGCGTTGCACTCCGCGGTGAAGATGGAACTGCTTGGGCTCAAGCTTCCTGCCGTGCGCTGTTCATCTTTTGGACAGTAAAACGCATATCCAACGCTGGGAGCGCCTTTCACCTTGCTTCCGTCCGTGTAGATTGGCGTTGCTCCCCTCGCCTCTATCCATTCCTTTAGCGCGCGATCAGGGTCTGGTGATCTTTTTATTTCCTGTCCGAGCGAGACATTTGTTGTCGCTGAGTACAGTAAAGTACTGTAGCTGTTGTTCTATGGGTCGAATCGCTCTCCTGAGCGAATTCGAAAGCCAGCGCTAAGGATCGAGAAGATGCACCGACTGAAGCACCTGCTCGGGTGGAGTTTTAGTTTGTGCGCGTCGTAGAATTCTTTAATCGCCGCTGAGCTCTCGTGGCTGTTGTTGCTAATCGCTTTGGACACGTATTTTTTGCCCAGCATCCCAGCTCGCTCTTCGATGGAGGAGATCTTCGCCTCGGCGAGGAGTATGTTCGTGGGTGTGCTTCTGCGGTATCCCAGGGCGATTCTAATCGCTGCGAATTGTATTCTTTCCAGCTTTAATTTCAAGTTTGCGTTTTTCGGGAGGTAGACGAAGCTCCCGTAGTCGATAATCGAGCGAATGTAACTCTTATACAGTATCAACAGTGTGTCAGGGTGGGCTCCCCAGTATGTGCCGCATAGGAATTTCATTATATTCATTGCTGAGTTACATCTTGCCTGGACAAACGTGACGTGATCCTTGTACGACAGCTGGTAGTCGAATATCACACCCAGGAACTTGTTCTTGGCGCAGGAGGCAATTTCGTGGAAAATGAAAGTATTCTCCGCTTACTATTGCATTAAATTTTGTATGCAACACGTGCCCAGCTTTTCGTGCCGGCATGGCCGACACTCGTGTCTTTATCCGCATACTCGCGCCCAAAAAGGCCTTTTGGGCACTTGTTGCATACATAACTATTATGTTATATCATATTTCACTGCGTAACAAAAAATTAAATTATATGTTCATCGTATAGCCATGCAGTTTTCTCAAATTTCAAGAAAATTTTTTTGAACAATATAATTTCTTCTTCATACATACTAACCGAAAATATGTGTTCCGATTGATTGCATTAAAGAGTCGTTACAGACCCGTGATTCAACGCCTACATGAATTTTAAATCGTTTTATTCAATTTTGTTAAAATAATTATAAGACTACCTGCACAAAATACTACAACTGTATCAAAATTTTTTAATTCCACTCATAGGACTGAATTTTGGACTTCATAGAGTTCATAGAACTTCATAGAGGAAGTTCTATGATAGGCTTCAAAATGAAATTTGGAACCAGACGTCGTAAGAAAATTTGGTTTACATATTTGGAAACTACATTTAATTACCAACAAATGTCTGTATAAGTGTGTGTGTGTGTGTCGGTGTTTTTGTTTTCTACTCCACCCCATTTGGACACTCACCGGTAACCGCCGATAGGCATTGCTTCGGTGAGACCGGGGTTAGTTGAGTTCTGCTAGTTCGATATTAGTCGTTTTCATACATCCCCCATCACTATGCGACGATTAGGGTTTCATTGACTCATCTTTTTCTACTTAGTGAACCTCCGATCCTGCGCGATGCCGTCTCTCAAATATCGTATCCCACTTACGCAGCCGTAGTTTCCCACTGCGTGGTCACACATTGCTGTCATCTCCTCCTGAGTTAAGTATTAGAACTCGCTGCCCAGTGCCATCTTGTGAGTGTGGTTCTCGCTTCTGTCGCCGCTCGTCAAGTGACCAGGTTGGCGGCTCGGCTTCATCTTGTGAGTGTGGTTCTCGCTTCAGACGCCTTTTATGCGTGCTCAAGGACCCTTGCGATCTAGCCGAGGGCCGACGATCTCCGCCGGGTCAGGAGTAATCTGCTCGGCGGTACATTTATTCATGTTCACATCGCGCCCACCCCGGGCTAATTCTCAATTATCTCACGTTGCATCATTATTACCCCCATCGGGAGCAATGGGCCATTATATATACCCCAGCCAGAAGTAATGGGCAGGGGCCCTCGCCGGTGATTCGCACAGCAGCCATTTTTTTGCACAAAGTTTTGGCAAGGTTATAGCCGAAGAAGTTACGAGAGTGAAAGTAAAAAATCACGGTGTTTTTATGCTAGTAGAAGACGGCAAGAGTAAAAGGCCGACGTCGAGATACGTGTGCGAGACCGCCCAGACGGGCTAGTTGTTTGTGCGTGCTCGTGTAGTAGTTCGCCCGTGAGGCAAGTTCGCCGAGTCAGGCCTGTGTAAGTCATTGCACAAGTGCAGAACATTTTGTCATCGTCGCCCAAACGTGGGCATAAGAGCGCATTTCGTCGTCGCACGTTGATCATCGACGCCCGGATGAGGGTCAATTTGCAGCCAGGAAGCTGAGCGATCTAACATCGAGGCGCCGAAGATTTGGCGTTAAGATTTTAAGATTCTTAGCGAGTTTATTGGTCGACGCGACTGCCGGGTCACGAGCGTGTGATTGTGTGTGTGAGTTCGAGCTTCACTGATGAGTACCGCCGGCGGCAGAATAAGAAAGCATCGCCAGGATCAGCGTGCGAGGGCAACGTCGCGTCGGTACACGTGCACTGGACATTGTCGCATAGATCGCGCGCGCAGATCGCCATATTAACTCGGCTGATTAGGATCGCATCACGAGATACGATCGACGCGAGTGGCCCCTGGTGGGCAAAGTCGGAATTAAAGTTAGGTCGAACTTGTGCCTCGTCGCGTAATATTGTAAATCATCGCCCGTTGGGCAATTTCAAGTGATTTTCCGGCCAATTGGGCCTTGAATTAAATAAAGTGTTATAACACGACAGCCGCATTATAAGCCTTCAGATACACGCGCGAGGTAGAGCATACGCATAGGTGAGACCGATATTAAGGCACTCGTTGCGTAAACATTCGACGGTTGCACGCTCGAGTCTCTGTGGAAGTATAACGCCCCTTTTTCGGATAATCAAATGCTAGTGCTGATAAGAGGTGACCACTGCCCACGCTTAGACTGGACCAGGTAAAACGACATCGATGACGCACTGCTTGTGCTGATATGTTTGCGAAGATCGGAGATTTCTAGGAACAAGTGGACAGAAGACCGCAGGTAGCAGCATACAAGACATCGCATCGGTACACTTGCGCCTATTTACGCTGATAAGGACCCGTGGCTGTTACACATTTAGCTCACGCGGACATCACGCGTTTACCTCATTGCACGCAAATTCATAAAACGAAGAACAGACCCCCATTGTCCGAGCAGTGCGACTTCTGCGAACGCTATGATAGCATGATGATAGCACACACTGGGCCTGTAGCCCACGGATGATCGAACGCACGTTACGCTATTTGCTCAGATGTATATCGAGGTCCGCGAGCTACCATAATTCGAAGAAATTGCAATCAGTTGCAGGTATTTCCAATCACTGGCCCACGCATCGTACGAGGGTCACTCCACAAAGGCACCAGCGATAAGGATTCGATATATATACCGGTCAAAAAGTAGACGAGGGGAGACTGATTTTGAACTTTGAGTACGACAGAGTCAGTTCAGTCCGAGACCTCCAACATGGCGGAGCTACGCCGGGGACCAGTAAAACCACCTATCGAGCAGTTAGAGTCAGTGCAAAAGTGAAGTGCATTGTAAGGTAGCCAGCCAGCAACATCGCCAGCAGCCAGCACGCAACAGCCGTTAAGCAGCCAGCCAGCACGCAGCAGCCGTTAAGCAGACAGCCAGCATCACCGCCAGCAGCCAACCCAGTAGCAGCAGCAGCATCTTCGATTAATTGTAAGAGTAGTTAAATAAAGAAAAATGTCTTGTGTAATCTAAACACGATGCACACATTTATTTCCTTCATCACCCAGCTCTCTTGTACTCATGCTCGCCTGACAAGCGAAGATGAATACAAGAAATAATAGCGATTTAATCAATTATAAATGTTTGGCAAACGAGCCATAACAAAAGTAACATATTTAATTGACATCATAGCCTATTTTTTTCACGACAATACTTTTCGCGGATTTCAGCGGAAGTTGCCGGAGTTCAACGGTGAGTCAGCGAGTCTACAGCAAGCTCGCACTGACGACGGGCCCAATATCCCCTCTGGGAGTAATCGACCAGGTAAGGTGGTCCTGTAATAAATTTATTCGACAGCAGATGATTTGCTGCTTTTCCCCACCCCAGGGTCAGCCGTCCGTCGAGGCAATTTTTGGGTGCTACGCATCCCCTTAAGGTGGCTCTACAGCAATCATAACAATAGTGCAGCGAGGAGTTTGTCTGTCTCTTTCTTGCATTAGGCAGACAACCGCTCGCACTATTCGAAATCAATGATTTTATGCACATTTTGTTTAATTACTCATTAGTTAGTTCGGTAAGGAGTAATTTTTAACATACCAAACGAAAGCTTGGAACTTTCTCTTTCAGAAAAAATATTTTTTATTAAGATGGTTGATCTTTTAAATTAGTTATAAACAATAAAAGACCGCGTCCCATGAGAGCCCGTGTTAAAATCGCCATTTTCAAACTTGTTTATCTCGAAAGATTGATCGTCGACCACATGTTTTTTTTGGAATCTCATTTTGAAGATCTAACAAACCGATTGATATAAGTTTTATCTTGTTGGATGATCTTTTGTATTATGTTTAGAGCCTCCTTAAACCAAAAATCAAAATTTAAAATTGAAATACGAATTTTCCCTTTAATAACCAAACCCTTTCATTAATATAATTTTTATGAGGAAGCTGTTTGCCAATAAATTGGCAGCGGTTTTTTTTCCTTTTGGAGATTAAAAATGGTATGGGTTCAAAATGTGTTTTTTTAATCTAAATTTTCTTACATTAAATGTGGTAAATTTAAGGAATTTTCTGTCTTCAAATGACCAAAAATGTACCAGTTTTTTGTGACGTTTCTCCAGTATTCAATATCATTATGTAATTTTGAACGTTAAAAAATAAATAAATATTACCTGTTGCCTGTAAATTCTATGGTTTGAGTTTTATTGACTGCAAAAGAAGAATCTTTATAACCCCACCCGTTCCACTTCAGCAACTCTTGTCTGAAAATAACGAATATTTTATGATTGAAATTTTCTCGACCTCTGATGGCAGATTTTTCTTATAACATATGAAAGAAATTTCGATGTTGTAAGTTAACATAAATATTAATATCCCGGACACAATCATTTCAATAACAGCATATGAATATTATCACGTGAGTAGAATTAATTTAAATTCCCTGTAATGACGTCGGTTGATCTCTTTATCTTATGGCCTAGGCAATGCCCACTAACCACTAGCCTCTTAGATCATTTTCGAGGGTTATCTTGGTTATAAGGTGAGGGTTGTTTGAATCGATATGATGGTCATGCGTGTTAAGGTGATGACAGGATGTGCATTGGCAACTTATTTGATGATTATTGATGGAAGCTAAGTACAACTGTAAGGAAAGTAACTATCTGTTGCTTATCGCGTAAAGATAAAGTTACTGTAGATGACCAATCCGTGCTGCAGCAATGAACTGACAGCGACTGATTGAAGTCAAAGAAGAAGGAAAGTAACTAGTATACTTTGACTTACTTTTAAAGTATTAATTCCTTTTATTTATTAAAATGAAATGATAAATGAGTTCGTTGGTAGGTTGGTAGGTAGGTAGGTAGGTAGGTAGGTAGGTAGGTAGGTAGGTAGGTAGAGAGTGAAAGAGTAGGTAGCTCTAGGCAAGAGCGATAGCTACGAATGCGTATGTGTTTGCTTACAGGCCGAACAAAGATGTTACCTGTTCGAGGTCTGACAAGCAAGTGAGCGAGAGCTCGGTGAGCGAATACTGCTGGGGAACGAATGCTGTCGATACTCTCCAGGGCCCCCGTATTTATACGATTGGCGGGCCTGGCTGAAGTGGGATGGAGAAAGTAGGAGGTGTTGGAGAATCTAAATGTTTAAATTGGAGAGGCTGGGAACTATAGCTAGTAAAAATAAGGGAGTTGGAAATTAGGATTGTAGGGAAATTTTCATTTCCAACGATACCTCATAATACATAGTTAAATAGCAAATGATTGTTAATAATAATTTTCCTATACTCCGTAACAATGTTGCTTGATAAAATACTTAGCTAGTTGACAATTATTGATATTAACACTTTATATAATTGTTGCAAATGTATACTTAATTATGCAAGCAATAATTAATTGTATAATTCAGGAATGAGTTGATATTAATCGTTGGCAATTTATATTTTAAAATTAACTCTAGTCACACTAAATATACGTATGCAACAATGTACAATTGTAAAGTTGGATATAAATTTGATGTATTGAACAACTGTGGTTCGAATTGGTTTAACATAAATTAATATAATGTTTAATTGATAATAATGAGTTGCTCTGTCGAACGGCGACAGAGATGTAACAAATAACGTTTTCATTATTTATTTATTTCGACGCTTATGCGTCATTAATGTTTAGCGGTGATTCTGTTATTTTTAACGTTATGGTAATTAACTAAAGTTAAACAAAAGTTATAATGTAATAAGTCAGCGACTTATAAGTCAACTGTTACAATGAGTCTTGTTGAGGAATCGGTCGAGTTTGGTACCGATTTACTCGTTTTAACAATTAGAATGTGATAGTTCATGTAACAATATCGTGTGGTAATTTGTTTAGGCAGTGTAGCTTAAAATATTCTTCATTAAAATACATATAGAAAAAGATCGAAGGTATTTGTATGTCGAAATCACTACAGTTAGCGGACACATGGCCGAGGAGAAAGGTGTGAAAAGCGATAAAACGTCTCGAAAAAGATGTAACGGTCGTTCGAGCATGTAAGTAATACGCTCGAACTACAAGTTACAAACTATGTACAAGTAAGACAGCGAGATATATTTTTTGATTTTAAAATATTTTTTAGTTTGAATATTTCAACGATGCGTCTTATAGGCCGGATCGGTGCGTGTAGGCGCGTTAAGTCAGAGCGCGGAATTGGCGGATTGCCTTGGCGTAGGCTATTCGTCGTAGGACGTTACATCCCAGATGAAAAAAATTGCGTGGATTTCCACGCTGTTTCCACGTGAATCGTACATGGATTCCTCGAGGATCGGACATAAATTCCACGTGGATCGAACATGGATACTACGTGGATTTATGAGATATCGGCGTTGATTTTTGATGAACCCACGAGGCTTTCTAAGGAAATTCTCGTTGATTTTTTATCGATCCTCGCAGCTTTCCACGGAAATCCTCATGGATTTTCGAAATTAAATAAACGGATTTCCGATTATCCATTTTTTATAGTGAAATCCTCGTCGATTTTGAGGAAAAAAAATCGTCAGGTGATTTTTTTTTAATTAAGAATTGACAGTAATTTTTAAATTATTTACTTAATAATTTAGAGTATTTTTAAGATTAGTTTAAGATTTATTTACTTATAAAATTTAGAGAAGTGAAAAAGTTCCCCGAGACCTGAGCTTGAACTGGTATGTGATCAGTCAGTTACGAGTTTATCTCCCTACCACTTGAGCTATTCTTTGATTATACAAGAGCTATCGTAGCAGTTATATTAATGAGAGGTGTGTATGCATTTTTTTAAGTTCTTTTAATAAGTTATTATATTTATAGCAACACAATAGAGAAAAACTAGTTGTACAATGTAATCACAATTTTGATTTTTTGATGATCGCGAGTACCCGAAGAAAGTCATCGCGAAGTTCTAACCTGGAGCCAAAAGTAGGTGAAAAGCCAGTAGGTCATAAAGGATTGAACGCTGCATTTACAGATATTTCTGTGGTGGAAAGGCCTAAAGGATAGGAAAGGAAAGGATAGTCCATTTTTTTGAAAATCGATTTTATAATGAAAAACGTCTATATTTAGTGTCTATTTTAATGTACAAGGGTCAGAATAGACGAATATAGCGTCTAGCGTTAGTTGCAGCATCGTGCATAACGACTTAAGTCCATTTCGCGAAGACTGGGGAAAGGCAAAACGACTTAAGTCCACCCTTGCGAGTTTCAAAATGCTATAGAGAGTCTAATTTTATTTGAAAATGAAAGAAAATGATATTAGAATGTTAAACATAGCTCCACACTCTTCGAATGTTGTGAATTACACTATATGATTGTTACATTTGATACGCGAGGGGCAATTTTCTCGATTTTCAGTTTGGCCTTTTTTCGTTGCAAGATTTGAGATCTGACGGCAGTATAACGTTAAATGAGCTATCTTATGAATGTAAAATCATTAAATAAGGTTGTGCGAACAAACTGTGCGAAATTATCGATATTGAAAAAAGTGTGACCGCCAAAAGTGGACTTGAGTGCAAACCGTGGAAAGGCAAAAGAACTTAAGTCCATATTTTTTGCTCCCTATCATCGCTATGATGCGCCTTTCAATTTCATAAGTACATAGTTCAAAAGCTACCTCATAGTAGCTTAAAACATCATAGGTTCAGACCTCAACTCGTCCGCGTCTAGTTAGGCTGGCACAATCAAATTAAAATGCGTTTTTCTCGAAATTACGAAAAAGGGACTTAAGTCGTTATGCCTTTCCACCACAGATTTAAACTTTGTTGAACTAAATACTTTTTCATGTCTAATCGATCCTCACCAGCTAAACCAATTCGTAATTTGATAAAATCGCTGACTTTAATAATAATAATAATAATAATAATAATAATAATAATAATAAATAAATGGAGGACGGGCAGTTGCCCCTCCAACACGTAGACTCATGATCCATTGTGTCAATCCACAAGTTGACACCAGTTCGACTGAACGACTTCTTTCCAGAAGCCGATTAGACAGCTGACCTTGGTGCCACTGGTGTCCTCTAGGCTCGGGAATGCGCATGGCCTGTAATAATGTGTGTCAGGAGTCTTGTGTATTCCCTCCCACGGTTTCAAGCCTGCCGCAGCCAGTCGCTGTTGGGCTCTGAGCCCAACATTAACTTTGCTTGGCGGCAGCCCATAGCTGCGCTCCACCATTCTTTGTATTTACCTTCGGTCCACTCCATTATGGTGCGCCTGATTTGGCTTCTTGCCAGCCTTATGATTAGTTCAGGCCCCTCTGGGATATTTCTTGACCCCAGATTGGCTAATCTGTCCGCTATCTCATTGCCCTTAATGCCCATGTGGCCAGGTACCCAGATAAGTCGAACCCTGTTTTTAGCTGCCAGGGCCCCCAGGGCTTTCTTGCACTCCCAGACCAACCTCGAGGTTACAGTCCGAGAGTCCAACGCCCTGAAGGCTGCCTGACTATTAGAGCGAATGCTTATGCGTTTGCTCTCCGTAACGAGTTCAACCATTCTGTACAATCATCCCAGAATGGCCATCGCTGACTTTACTGATAAAGATATTAATGGTGCTCCGATTATCCAGTGTGCGTGCTTGCGATAGTCGCCGATAGTCATCGAGCATCACGAACCCCCCTGCGACGCGTGAGCGCCGACGTCAGCCCATCAACTATACTGCCCGGTCGCGGCCTAGAGGACGTGGAAGTCCCCATCGCGACAGCGTAACACCCCAGCGATTTTTGTCATACCCTGCAAGGAATCAAAATGAGTACCTTGGATTATATTGCGAGCCCTCATGCGGCAACGCACCTCGGTCGGGGCCTGTACGATTGCGTGAGTGTGTAGGAGCAGTGCGGTCTGAGTGTATCGCATCAAAAGAATGTATAGTTCGTTAATTATACCTTTTGATATCACTTTTCTAACCATTTTCGTTCACGAATCGATAAGTGTTTCTGTACGACCGGGGAACCGCACCATCACACTTTCAACTAAACACGGGTAATTTTTATATAAACTTATCATTTTTAGATTTTCTGAGTTGCATATTGTGAAAATTGTAATATTACTCTACGATATAAGACCTATAAGTAACACTTTATGACACGACATGGTTTAAAGCCCAAGCGCAGCCAAGGTCCTATTAGCCGTGCAGGAAAATGTTCCATATAGCCCTAGAATAGAATTTACTATTTAATTCCATTATTGTAAAAATGTATTCAGAATAATTGATTGCTCAAAATAAGGGTAGTGCGTGAGAATATGGAGCAATATGGAATATGGAACAGCACAAATATTCGGGAGAAAATCATATCGCCATGATCCAACAGACTCCATTAGACTGCAATAAAACTCGGTTTTTAGAAATATAAAATCTAGCCGTGAGAGATATTAGGCATGGTGTCCGTCCCATAAAGTCCGATAGCAAAGAAACATTAGCCCACGCCATAAACTTAGTCTAATGACTAGAATTACAATTTCAGTACGCTGAAATAAAGGTCAACTTAAATAAACACTCTAACTGAGATATCTAAGATGGTGCCTATGACCAGCTGATCAAATGAGCTGATCACATGGAACCCTCGTAATATCTAATAAAGATCTCCTTTTTTCTAAAATTATCTAATTGGACCAGAACACTCACAAGGAGACCTTCTCACCTTCGGGTCATGGATTTTGCCCAAACTTTTTTTGGTGATTCAGGACAGTTAAAAAACATGCCCTGTTATGTTAGTTTATGTGAATATGTCCCAGAAGCCTTAGATAAAAAATAAAGGGCCAAATAATAAAAATAAGCGTATATAGTGCAATGAATATTCATTTTCTATCCTCAAACTATTTTTGTCACTTATTTTAAACACCTGGTTCTGTTTAGGTACTTGAAGTGTTAAATTAGTTAGTGAAAAGTAATTTGATAAGAACTTGTCGGATCTCCAGTGCTTGTATTAAAATAATAATTATTTGAAGCGTTTAAGGCCATACGTATTGAAATTAAGCGCCTGATAATGTCATAAATTAAGCAATATTGCAATGTTTTGTGTCATGAGTGAGATCCAACAACTTCTTAACAATGAAATGTAATGTTTTCAAAAACCAGGTGTTTAAAATAAGTGACAAAAATAGTTTGAGGATAGGAAATGAATATTTATTGCACTATATACGCTTATTTTTATTATTTGGACCTTCATTTTTTATCTAAGGCTTCTGGGGCATATTCACATAAACTAATATAACAGGACATGTTTTCTAACTGTCCTGAATCACCAAAAAATGTTTGGGCCAAATCCATGACCCGAAGGTGAGAAGGTCTCCTTGTCAGTAGTAAACGGCGCTACAAATGCCATCTGAGTTTTATAATCACGCTTTAGATGAATCGAGAAGTAGAAAGGATCGGATAATAACCACGTTAGGACGGTGTGGCAGAGAAATTAAATAGAGAGGGGGATGAACCAAAAATAAATAAATAGGCCACGCTCCAAGAAATCGGCATTATTATCCAGAGACCGCCGATCCGTGTAGGCTAAGTGCAAGTGTTGCAATCTCAGAGTCTTACGACAATCTAAGTCCCGTCTTAAGTTTATTCAGAAGTATTCGAGTCATTCTTTCAAGTTAAAGTTTAAATAGTTTTTGGGAAGTAAACTCTTTTCTACACGAGGTGTTCAAATGATTTCAACTCATCCTCTGAAGATCGCTGATTCGCCATCGTCCAGGAGCAGCGTACGAGAGGGGCGTCGACGAACCAAGAGGAAGCCAGACTTGTAGTATGTGTTTCAAGGTTGAGATAAATAAATTTATATAAGTCCCTTTAAAAATTATAAAAACAATTGTCCACGTGTAATTATTTCAACCCAATCCTCCTTAACACTTCTGTGAGAAAGAACTTAAATTATAAACTATGTGATACTCGTTAATTCGGATGTCACAGTATTGCCGGCTGTTTGGAGGTTAAAGTTCAAACATAATGTTGTTTATCTTCTTCGATTAGACTAACATAGAAATATGTCCTTTCAAAGACCAAAATATAAATTTTTCTAAAATTTGGCACTGAAAAATAATTTTTTTTTTCATATACATATATGAATTTTCCGCGATTTCCATTCTTTAAGGCAGCGAACATGTCTCAAATAATCAACCAATGACAAAATTTTAGAAATGAAATTTCAAACCAAATTGTATTTTGGCTTGTGATTTTTAACGAAAAATTAGAATTCCTCATCGAATTTTACGTACAAAATTATCTCATATTCTTTTGATATTCACCTTAGAAAAACAGAATAAAATATGTAATATTGTAAATAGATGCGGGAAGAACCTAAAAGCTAAAATTCTGGAAATTATCATTTTTTAAAGTACCTAGTTGATGAGGATTTCTTTTATTTTTTTGAATTTTCAAATTCTCTATAATAAACATATAATAAACAACTTATAATAGTACTTAATGGATCGGGTGTGCATAAGCATATTAAGTTTCAATAAATACTCAAAAGTTTAATTTAATACGTTTAACATTGAAAAATATTTTTTCTCGAAAAATATGGACCCTAGTATAAAAAATTTAAAATCAATGTTAAAAATGTTATTGGCTTACATGCACTTTGATAAACTGTTGTAAAGTTTTAAATAACGTTCTTTTTAATGGTAGTTTAATGAAAGTTTAAAAAAGTTCAGAGTTTTTAGCTGAAGTATATTTCCGGTATGAGAAAATAAATTATCAAAAATAATATTATCTAATGGTTTTAAAAGTCGATGAAATAATTCTTAATACCCAATAAAAATATCTACTTACTTTTGCAATATTTTTCAGATGGGTCTGACTTTTCAGGGAAAATTCGTATACGAAATTTTTTATTTTCGTGTACAAAATTCTGAACTTTGTAAACAAAACTCCATATAACCCAAGATAGCCCTAATTTTCTCGGAAAAATTGTCATTTTGCTATACAAAAATCAAACATTTCGTGCACGAATTTCCCTTCAATAGCCACTTCGTTTTCAGATATTATTTGTTTTTAAATATTTTGTTGAAAAAGTGAATAATTTCTTTATTTTAACCATGAAAGCCGGCTTTACATTTTGAAAAGTTTCAAATAAATTATATTTCGAACTATTGAGAGTGATTAAAATACAATTATATAGTAATTATATTTAATAATAAAACTAATTAAACTATTTAAAATTTTTAGGATTGAGTTAAAGTAAATATTGGGATATTATAAGTTCTTTATTGAAGTGAATTATATATAAGTTAACACATTGGTTTATAAGTCTTTTGTAGAGAAAATTTTAAAATCAATAGGCAATCTCAATAATATCAAATAAAAATATCAATTGGTTTTATATCATTTACTAAATAAAGTATTTATAACATTTTTTATAAAATCTCTAACCTGTTTTTCGGAACAGTGCTATGAAAATCTTCGGACAGATGATAAACTTTCGAAGTTTCCAAGTTTTTATCAACATTCATTTTGATTTTTTTATAATTGTACCAGAAATGTGTAAAATTAATAAGTAGAAGAATAAATTAAATCATATTCCACATGTAAATTTTCTGTTGAGAAATATTCATTTTACGAGCTTTTTCTTCGCGTTCCAATGAACATAGCCCTAATGAAAATAATCTTCCTTATGACTTTGCCAAGATATTAAATTTTCATGAATTAATTTTTTAATTTAAACTTGAATCATTACGTAAAAATGATTTTACAGAATAATTTCGTAGATTCAGCAAATTATTCGCAGTTTTATATTTTTTAGACGAATTTGAGTGTATACCCTGTCGAAAATTATCCCTGTTGATAGTACCTAATTAAACCATATTGAAACCAAAATAACAAAGCGCATATTTCATAGAGAAATTTTTCAGAGTAAAAAACTTGAATTTGGTTTTATTTGCCACAATCATTATTTATTGATTTCTAATGGGAAAAGATGGGGCGATGATTTTATCATGTTATAAGTAATCTGGTCCTTAATGGTATTAATCGGAAATTTTTCGTTTAATGGAATATAATTTGAACATTTAAGAAACTATTTTTTATGGTTTCTAACTGAACAATTTTCAAAAAGAGTGGTTACCTTATTTTACTAGTATGTATCGGTTTTAACCTGCATTAACTATTGCTTCATTTTTATAGTTTTGAACATGGAACATTACGAAGATAAGTTAATTGGAACCAATTGATTTTATAACGATTGCTTCAATACTAGTTTTACGTAATTGAATTAGGAATTCCCGGTTAAAATACACGGTGCCTAGAATATTACGAACCTAGAATATTGCTTCTGAGAAACGGTTTCAATTGTAAACACTACATGCCGAATAAAAACCATAAGGTTGAAAACTATGCGTTGCAAATAAAAAATGTTTTAATTAAATTTACTTCTTCGACTCACAGTAATTATAATTTTATTTTTTAAATGTTTCAAAATTTTCTAAGTAATGACAATGAAAATAAAAATTTGTTGTGACTAAAACTCTCTGATTTAAACTTATATTTCTTATCGAATTAACATAATATTTATTTAAATTGATTAATTCACTTAATTTGAGTACATATTTTTTAATTCTTATAAAATATATTTGCTCAATAATATATAATAATTTTAATAAATTCAAATAAATTTTATAATATAATTTTTATTCAGTACATCAGTTATTTATAGGGATTTATACAAGTGACAAAATTACGTTTTCAAATTTATAAGTTACTTTTGTACTTGTTTCAATTGGGTTTGAAAGACAGTTAAACCCGATAGAGATTACATCGCGAATCGAGCTGTGTAAAAACGTTAACAGCGTTTACGACGGTAAGCTTATGTTAACGGGTACACTGTGATTGTCACTATCTTTACCCAACTGCTATCGCGAAAATTCGCACAAGGGGAGGTAGGAGAACGGTTTTACTGAGGCCGTTCGAAGCCAACCGAATTGCACACGTGTTCTGCACGCATTGGTCTTTCTCTCTGACCCGCCATTGTCTTGCCACATCAGCAGTGATTTCGCGAACGTATTATTTCAACTTATTCTGATGAGTGTAATTAATTCATTGCAACAATTCAAGAATGATCATTATTGGTATGACATTATAAATAATGCATCATTCTTTTTTTACTTTCTTTGCAGATCCCAGATGTATGTCTACGCAAAGTTTGATTCTGTGAATTGGTGAAAACAGAGGCGGCTGATTTCACAAAATCAAAGATTTAGCAGCCCAAAATATATGCAGGACGCAATAATTCTCCATAGTGCTGATGAGTTCGATATGAATGATAGAATTGAGGTTAGTTTTGTAACATGAATATTTTTCTAATAATTTTTCAGAAACCTTAGCGGATTTGGATCTTGAAATAACAAAGGCTGGGAGAATGAAGTGTCCACCTGCTAAATTTTGTCTGTCTGCATCTGAATTAAGCAGCAGTGAGGTAGAGATCACAGCCACCGCTACAACTTCGTATCAAAACAGAGATATGTCTAGTATACTGCAAAAAAACTGGAAAGTCATCCTTACAACAAGGTATTCCCTGGCAAAATATTTCTTTAATCGCCACAAATAATTGTAAATCTCAATAAATAAGAATTAAAACACTTCAATAAAATCTAGTAAAATCAAATATATGTGAAAACTTTCAAATAATTTTAAAGAAAATCAAATAATCATATAAATACTCACAAATACTCACTCTACGAATTGGGACTTTTATATTTGTGAGTATTTAAAAAAATTTTTTTTTTTTAGCATTGATTTATATTTAATAATTTATATTATAATATATTTGAGAGTATTGGAGAGTTTTAACTTTTATTATAATATATTTGAGAATATTGGAGAAATATTTTTCTAAATTGTTCAAATGTAATCATACATCTAGTCATAATAATTGTAGTAATTAGTTAATAATTGATGGTCAATGTATATTTTTTTAAATTGTTTCTTTATTCCAAAAAAGAATTTTTTACATTGATTCAGTTTACATTTATAAAAAATGAGTTCTAAGCATATAGCTGTTGTAGCCAAACAAATGTTGCAATAATAAATTTTTAAAAAACTGTTATGAAGGAATTATAAAAAATTGAGAATCTGCTAATACATATAACTATGCTAGCCAGACTATAAAAGTTTGCTAAAAAAAACACGAAAAACAACAAAGAGCTGGAATGAAAATGATGAAAGAATTAAAAAAAAATAATATTGAATGATTTATAAGAAAATTGTTTCTTGATCCGGGTCATTCTCAGTATCCAATTCTGGATATTTATTCACGACGTCCATGTGCTTCTTAGCACCATTTATAGCCCGGTTAGCATAGTTATTAAATCTGCCCTTGTAATAACTTATTATGGACGAATCTCGGTGGTAGAAAGCTAGCATGTGGTCGAAGTGCTTTTTAACAGCACTTTTCTTCCTCGGAGAAAGTAGCTGTAAGTGACGGGTTTTTATGGTTTTTTTCACACAACGTTCTGCCAATGCTCGATAACCCCAGGTTGCGTACATCATTCCAATACAAAACAGTGATGCTTCTTTTTGTTCATAAGCATTCTCAACTCCTGCTTTATTAGCTGTAATGTCACTATTAAGGTTCTTGATTGTTGGATAGGCGTTGATACTTCTTTTTAATTTTTTCACAGCAAGCTCTGCTTGTTCAGCATCTGAAATGCAATAAAATAAAGTACAATTATTCGACCCTATCTATATTACAGTGTACACAGACACACACACACACACACATTAACGAGAGACAGAATGCTTTTAAACAAAACAGAATTTATTATTAAAATAATGATTAAAACTTGCCTTGTTCTTGTTGATGTTCTGCAGATTTTCTTTTCTGTTGAGTCAGTTTGTCATTCAAAAACTTTGCAGCTTTTTCAGCTCTAACTCTCTTTTTTTTTTCTTCGGCTAATGCATTTTGTAAATCCTTATCAGTCACAAATGTTTGGTGACCATCATTATGGTTGGTTGGAAACTGATTGCTCTCAGTCTAAATTGCAAGAAATTACATTTATATTAAAAATGATAATAATAGAGAAACTCTTCAAATGATGTATATATATTCTTACTAACATTTTCCTGCAAAGGTATTTTGCGTCCAACTTTTATGGCATTGGATGCAGTTATCGCCTCTTCATCGTTGATTGAATCATCGTCTTCATCAGAGGATTCTTTATTTTTATCTGAGCTCGAGTATTCTAATGGACTTTTACCATTTGAAGATGTACCCTTAGAAGATACAAGGCCACTGCAGCTGGGCTTATTTGGTTGTTGTAATGTCTTCTGATAGATTTGAACAATATCTGTCATTGTTTTAGCAGAAGCTTGGTTTTTGATGAGTTTATCTTGCTGTAACAAAAAATAATGACTCAAATTAAAATATGTAAATAATTAATGCACAATGTTACTGAAAGCACTCCACTCGCATTACACTAAACATAAAACTAAATAAAAAACAGCATGAAATGATACCTATATCTAATAGCGTATGTCTATATGTAAAGTCATACCTTTCGTTGAAGTTTGGCATCAGCTAACTCATTGGCAATCTCGTCTTCCTCATTATCATCTTGATCATCCTCGCTATCATCATTATCCTGGCTGTCTTGATCATCCTCGCTATCATCATTATCCTGGCTGTCTTGATCATCCTCGCTATCATCATTATCAATTGTTGGGATATCAGATACGTTGAGGGTAGGAAGAACTGGTCTCTTTTTTGTAACATATTCATCAACTTCTTCTTCAGTATCTGTAAAAGATAACAATCAAAATAATTTATTGTAGCAATATTTTGTTACTTAACCTATTTAATATGCAATATTCATCTAAGTTTTACAAAAGAATTTACAATATTTTTATATTAAGATTAATGCAGCATAGTAAAATACAAAAATTATGAACCTACCTGCTACAACTAATATTTGGCAATAGTATTTTTGGTTATTTAATTTACACAAGAAGACTCTTTTAGAAAATTTATACGATTGATGACCAATTTTCTCGTACTTATAATCAGTTATATCATCGGAATTAATGTTAAAATAAGATTTAAGTGACTTAATATAAATGAAGGCCCACATTTTGTTATTAACTAATTAACCTACTTAGACTACAGGTTGACTACTAAGCTTCTGCTTACTACTACTAAACGCGCGAGAATGTCTTAAGGGTGGAAAGAGAGAAAAAATACCGAACCGAATCAATGCGTTTGGCGCCACTATGATGTACAACTATACCGGCAGGCCTTAAGGTCAGAGAACTTACATCTGGTCAAGAAAAGAGTGTATGCAAAGAGCAAAATTGTTTAAAAGTCGATTTAAAATTAAAATAAATAATCAATCACATTCAATCGTAATGTCAGATCCGATTCGTCAAGTGTATAATTCGTGGAAGTCTCCATCATCGAAAAAGAGAAAGCCTAGATCAACAAATTACCGTCATGAGAAAAAAAAAAGAGAAGATATAGTACGTGTAAGTAAATAACCATACAATAGGATTTTGCTATCTCATAGAGGAAGCTCTGTGATAGGGTCGAAAACGAGATTTTGAACCAGACCTCGTAGGACAATTTGGTTTACATATTTGTAAACTAGATTGAATTCTCAAGAAATGTCCGCATGTATGTATGTGTGTGTGTGTGCGCGTATGTCCGAGGCAAAATCTTGAAAATGTTACGGTGGATTGTATTAATTTCAATGGTATTCATTGTCGTTTGTAGTATTAATTAGGCCAGAAAAGTTTTTTGGCAATACACGAGAAAAAAAAATTTTTTTTCGATTTTTCGAAATTTTTTTCGTAAATTTGAAAAAAAATTGTTCTTCTTTTTTCACGTAAAAATGCCGGAATTTTTATAAGGGAATTTTTTTGTTGTCACCATGAAAGCAGCCAAGCTTTAATTTAAGACCAAAAAGATAGGCATTCACCTAATATTATGAAAATTAACGACTCGAATTAAAATTTTTTTTATGTAAATTTGAAAAAAAAAATTTTTTTATTTCACGGATAAATGCCGGAATTTTCACTACTTTTGTTATCATCATGAAAGCAGAGCAGTCAAGCTTTAATTTAAGAACAAAAATTGAAGACCAAGTAAAATTCTATTTTTTCTTTTGAAAGTTTTGTATAGATTTTTAAATTTATTAGTATTAAGTTTTAGGTTAATATTTATTATAATATAATTAAAAGAGAATGAGGAAGCACTTTGCCAATGACTTGGCAGCGTTTTTTTTTTTATATTTACGTTATTTTAAAAAAAATCTACATTCAAATATTCATTTCTTCCAGGCTGTCTGTGGTGACACAAGTGACGATGAATTTGAAAATTCTGGGGATTCAAGTTTGAACAATTTGAATGCACTAGACAATGCACTTTTCGAAGAAAATGAACTTGAACAAGCCGACGAAGTGAAAGAAGTGGGAAACGCAGAGTTTCACAATAACTTGAATCAAGTTGATAACAATTTTTTTGCTCAAAATGATCAAATCGATAACAGTTTTTTTGCTCAAAATGATCAAATCGATGACAGTTTCTTTGCTCAAAATAATGATTGGGTGAATATTGATCAAGCAGACATCAGGAGTGAATACGATAGTGGAGAAGAAGTGGACGTTAGCGATTACGAAAATATACGGTCAGAAAAAAAAATGTTGAACAAAAAATTGTTTCTCAATGAACGAATACGTAAAAAAACAAATACTAGTAATGGAGAAATAATTTTGATGTGTATGTTATTAGCGATTCGTCACTCTTTCACTTGGGCAGCATTATTGGATGTCATGGATTTGATAAATAAACTTTTTGATGAAGATATAATTAAAATGAGTAAATTCAAGCTTATGCAATTTTTCCCTGGGCGCAAGGACTGGTATGTTTACCATGTGTACTGTCCTAATTGCAAGCAATATATAGGTAATCGTGACGAATTGTCAACAGTGGTTGCTTGTGTTTCTTGTAAAGTCACACAAATAGATCCAAAAAAGTGTCCATACTTTTTAACACTGAATATTAAAAGTCAGATACAAGAATTACTAAATAATCCTCTAATACAACCTCATTTAAGTTATCGTGAAACCCGATGTAAAAAGACCGAGGATAATATTGAAGATGTCTTAGATGGAGATCTATATAAAAGACTTTCTGCGCCAAACAATATATTACATGACAAATTAAATTTTTCGTACATTTTTAATACAGATGGTTGTAAAGCTAGCGATTCGAGCCCTGTAAGCGTGTGGCCAGTATTTTTAAAAATTAATGAATTACCACCTGCAATAAGAGATAATTTCATTATTTTAGTAGGGCTGTGGGTGAATGAAGTAAAACCCACTATGAATACATTTTTACCACCATTAATTAATGTAATGAATAGTTTATCATCTGAAGGAGTTGAATGGAACAGAAATGGCAAAATCGTTAAGTCCAAAATAATACCGTTTGGTTGCTGCGTTGACTCGCCATGTCGATGTAGTCTGTTAAACATGAAACAATTTAACGGAAATTATGGCTGTACATTCTGTTATCACCCAAGTGAACAAGTAGATGGTGTTCGAAAATATCCGCTGAATGGGAAGTTTTATCCGCTTCGCAGCCATGAAAATATCATCCAAGATATGCTTTCCACGCGTATACGCGATGAACGAACAGGAAAAGTAAAAATACAAGAAGTGACTGGAGTTAAAGGACCATCCGCTCTAATGAATTTGAAATACTTTGATCTTGCTGATGGCATGTCCCCTGATAGTATGCACGCAGTTTATCTTGGGGTATCGAAACAAATCACAGAAATAATTCTAAGCTCATCTAAGGAACCTTATTATGTGGGATCTCCAAATCAGTTAGCAGCAATTGATCACCGACTTCTTTCCATCAAAACACCAAAATGTATTACAAGAACAGTAAGATCTGTACAAAAACGAAGCTTGTGGAAAGCATCTGAGTGGCGATCATGGTTGCTTTATTATTGCTTACCTTGTTTGTCAGGAATTCTCTCTCCTAAATATTTCATTATAATATCAAAAGTGGTCAGCGGTATTGAAATTTTGCAAAGAGATTCTATTGGTTATGATGATGTTAAATTTGCAAATAAATTATTGGTAGAATTTATTATAGAATTTGAGAAAGAGTTTGGAAAACATAATATAACGTACAATGTACATCTTTTATTGCACATCGCAAGGAGTGTTCAAAATATGGGCCCATTGCAAGTACAAAATGCATTTTGCTTTGAAAATGAAAATCGATTACTACTACATTTAAAAAAAAGCCCAACAGAAATTGCAGTTCAAATTTCGAATCGTTATTTTGTTTACAGATCAATACCTTTTTTTTCTACATTATTTCCAATTGGCACAAGAGTAATAGAATTCACAGACAATTTTGAAACTCGAATAAAAAATTGTGCAAGGGTAGATTCTGCAGTAGTAATCGGTGTGGGAAAACCTTATACTCTCAATGAGTCTGAACAGAAACTTTTCTTCAATTTCAATAGTAGTTATTTGAGTTACCACAAATTAATTTATAAACATCGTAGGTATACTACAAAGGCTTATGCAGAAAAACTAAAAATAAATGACTCTTTTATTGAATTACAATCTGGTTGTAAGGGAGTAATTACAAATATAGTCGTCAGAGATGGATTTATGGAAAAAGATATTTACGTATTCTATCATCCAATTGTAATACTTAATAGTAACTCTTTTGATGTGTCACATATAAAACACATTCAAGAATGTACAATTGAATCTAATACTTTACTCGTTTGTAAGCCTACAAATATTAAAAATTCATGCATTTTCATAGAAATTAATAAAAAACAGTACATAAGTTCCATTATACAAGGAACTCTCGGAGACTAAAAATAACGTTAATGAGCCGTAGATTTTAAGACATTAATAAAGTATATCAAAACTTCTTCAAAAAATTGTTTTATTTGGCGAACCTAATTTTATATTTCTCACATTCACGCAATTCAATCGTAATTGTCCAATTAATCAGACAGTTTATTTTAAACGTCTGAAAATACTATTATTTGTAAATTGTAAATTGATCAATATGATCACTCAATAATCAATGAAAAAACATGCTCAATAATATCAAATTCGAATAAATCATAATGAATTTCTAATAAAAAAGAATTCAAAATAAAATTTAAGAATATTAAATAATTTTTAAGAATTTCTATAATTATTTATTACTTGTAAAGACAGAAAAATAATTTTAAATACTGGCAAATATCAAATTCCCAATTCCGGCAAAGATTCTTTGGTGGTATTTGACAGTATTTAAAATTATTTTTCTGTCTTTACTAGGATTATGAATATCTTTTGCCAGGGTTATTTTTAAATTGTTTAATCTTTTTTCTATAAAACTCGTTACCAGGGCAAAAGTACAAGTCCCCAATTATATATTTTTCAATCCATTTTTTATTTGCTGCATACTTTATGGAACTCTTGGCCAGCGTAGCAAGAGTACGAGTCCCAAAATATGTGAGTCCTAAATTAAATATTTTTCAAACTTATTTAGTATTTTCTGTCTACTCGATAGAGCTGTAGAGTCTCTAAGATCTGGAGTCAATTCTTACATACTATTTTCACCTGGGTGTATAATGAGTCTTAATATATATTATTCAAACTTATCTTGTATTTGCTGAATACTAAATAATCTACTTGATAGAACTGCAGTAAAGCGTAGCAGCAGTTGGGGTCTTTATCCAAATATATATTTTTAAAACTAAATGTTTTTATTTTGCACAAATTTGCATGCACTTGTCTTGGCTTACAAATGCTTTTATCACATCTGCTATTCCTGACCTCGGGACAACTATAGATTTTCTGAGGAAATTAACCATAGTATACAGTAAATTTGATTAGACAGAAGAACATGAATAGCATTTTAAAATACTCAAGAAATGTTTGTCAAATGTGCCAACTCTAGCTTATTTAGATTCGTCCAAACGCACAAGATTAGTGGCGGATGCAAGTCCCGTAGCTCTTGGTGCGGTGCTATTACAATTTAACAATCACTCTGATCAGAGAGTGATATCTTTTGCAAGTAAGAGCTTGTCTTACGGAACGACGTTATTTGCAAACTGAAAAAGAGGTGTTCGTCGTAATTGATTATTAATAAAAATGGTATTCGTCGTAATTGACTATTATTCGAGGTACCAGGAGATAAAATTTCTAACAAGTACAACTTTAGCAATCATTATAAAGCATTTACTTGAAATGTTTTCAAGATTAGGGTTTCCGAAAAGCATAAGAGCTGATAACGGACTCCAATTTATAAGTGAAGAATTTAAAAGTTTTTGTGATAAAAATATTATCTAATTGATTCAGACGACTACGTATTGTCCGCAGGCCAACGTCGAAGTAGAGAACACGAATAATTCGATTCTGAAACGGCTAAAAATAGCAGATTCAAAAGGACATGACTACCAAGTGGAGGTACAAAACTTTCTACTTATGTATAATGTAACACCTCATGGAACTACAGGGAAATCCCCTTCAGAACTACTCTTTGGCCAAAATGTCAGGGATAAGATTCCAACAATAAAAGATTTAAGTGTTGAAAATGGAGATAAAGAAGCAAGAGATAATGATATGGTCTGAAAACAAAAAGGAAAGGAAAGAGAAGATGCTTCTAGGAAGTCAAAGGATTCTGATATCTGTTCAGGGGATAAAGTTTTGGTAAAGAATATCGTAACTCCACTTAAGCTGTGTACTCGATTTAATGGTAACGAGACCGCATCAGCGGCCTCGATACTCACTCTCGAGTTCTTTAACCAACCGAAAAGTTGTAAGGATAATTTGGGCGAGGTTCAATAGATAATTATGATGAGAATAATTAGTTAAAGTTAAAAATATGGTTTGTATTGAGATTATCAAATAGAGTTATTACAATCAATTGCTCGGGGCACCACTACATTAGAAACATGCAGACTCAACGATTTGACTCTCAGGGACGCGAGTTCGTGTTGATGGCAAAAAGAATCCGATTAAATAATAAAGAAACTACGACGCGATTACTGATATGGCTCGGAAAATATTTAAGGTGTTTAGTGTACTTAAATCATAGCTGGCCTCTTCAGCGACGATAGTCCCAGGTCCACCCGATGTTGGTTGGCATGGTGACAGGATGGCAAGTGACACCTCGGGTTAGAAATCTTCTCCAGAGACACTACAATTGCTAGAATTGTTATTGAATTGCTAGAATTGTTATAGAATTGCTAAAATTGCTAGTGATGTTGGCGAGTCGAAGGCCCAATTGGGAGTGCTGAGTCAGAGGTAACTCTACCTACTCAAGAGTGACAACCCTCCTTTTCAACAAATATCATTGTTTCACAACTTAGCTCGAAAAAATATAAGACCAACATTTTTTCTTAATTTTTAAACTTACATATACAACCTTGAATTTTTCCAGATTTCTAAGACGGTTTTTTCAAGTTCTAGACTCAAAACATCCATATTTATAGTTAAAATGAATACGTACTTTAGTTACGTAATTAAATAACATCATTCTCTTGAATAGAGCTATTGACATGTGCAAAATATAGATCGATGCCTTGTTAATTTCCATTAGAGAATGTTCCTTTCATTAAATTCCCCGCTAATTTTTCCCACCCGCTCACAAGTTTTTAAAAATTTTTCAGAATCTTTTAAAGGTAAATTTTTTGAGGTTTTTGATGTGTGAATAGATGAGTATATGATATAAAGTAGGAAAAAATATCTTTCAGTTTATTTTCAAGTATTAATTATTATCTTTTGAGATTGGTATGTCCGACAAAATATTTTTCATTATATTTTTTTCAGAAAGTTTCATTTTCCATACTAGTTGGCGAGTCAATGGCATATCCTGAATCTCATTCAAAATAGTTTCCTAAAAATAAAAATGTGTTCAATTATTAATAAGTAATAAATATAATAATAACAATAATAACTTAGATGAACCACAAACTTAAATAAATTTAAGTTACAGGTAAAGATGATGTTATAAATAACTATCAAGGAGCGTGTAACACGCTTCCTATGGTAAGTATGTCAAGAACTAAGTGACGACACTCGCTACTCGTATACTGCAGAGAAATCCCCATCGGTTTTCTTTTCGCTCTCATTTGAATTTGATGAGAGATATTGAAAATCTGATAAGACCATCAAATTCCTTGAAAAAGATTTTAACGATATGAGGTATTTAAATCTACCGAGTAAATAAATTGAGGTAGTAACTGAAGACAGCTAATTTTAATTCAAGTTAAATCAAACACATAATTTTCATAATTTTTAAACCTAAAAATGTTATTTTCTACTATTTTGATGCGTTATGTGTGACTATTTCCGCATAAAACAAGTTCAATTCACGAAAAAAGTTATCATACGTATAAATTGATACATAGATAACGTGTGTTTATATGGGCTATATCGCATCAACTGACCCCCCCCCCCTTGGATCAGAGTTGTAATTTGATTTTTCATATTTTATTCTGCTTTCCAAGAGTGAATATGAAAAGATGATTGAAAAATGATTTTTTATGTAAATTTTGATGAGGAATTCAATTTTGATGTCAAAAATCATATTCATAAACTTCAAGTACCTTAATTTCTAAATTTCAGCCTCAGTGGCAAAAATAAACATGTTCGTATCCAGCGATATGGCCAATATTGTAATATGTTCATCGATACACCAAAATACAACTTCTGATAAATTTTTGTCATCGGCAGAAAAACAGACTTCATCATTGACCTTGATATGCGTCAATAAAACATGATTTTTCTCTAGATTTCCCATATTCTTAGCTTCTAAATATGGTCTGCAGTTCAACGCGGCCAAGTGCATCGCGATGTCAATCTTGATTTCCAGTAAGCGGAAGACATATAAAGTGTCGACTGCTGAAAGCTTTCAGATTGGCGGAGGGCCTATTCGTCAGCTTGGCCCTACCGAGCACTTTAGATACCTTGGGGTGCATTTTTCTCCCCTTGGTATCCGGAAGCCCGGGGGTACTTTAGTTCGGGAGTTGGCTAACATCGCCTCGGCTCCTCTAAAGCCCCAGCAGTATTTAAAGATCTTACGCTGCTTCCTCGTGCCGCGATTTTACCACCAGTTAGTCTTGTCTAGATGCCATCTTCAAACTCTTAAGAGTCTTGACCGACAAGTACGCGCTGCGGTTCGCAAGTGGTTACGGCTACCATAAGATGTTCCCACTGGATACTTCCACGCGCGGTGTTTAGACGGGGGACTCGGAATTCCATCTTTCCGAACAGCTATTCCGGCCTTGGTTCATTCAAGGCTTTCGGATATGGCTGAGTCTTCCTGTGCCGCCGTTAGAGGTGTCTTTTGTCATCGCTCGGTGCAGGCTTCGATCCGATGGGCCGAAACGGCGCTGTCCTTTCATGGGCGGCCCCTTTTCGGCCAGGAGGCTCGTAGCAAGTACTGGGCTTCGCTACTTCATCAAGCGAATGATGGCAAGGAACTCTCCGAGTGTGCTCGTGTTCGTGCGAGCCACTCGTGGGTAGACCGTAACAGCGCGGCCCTCTCCGGACGAGACTACGTACAATTCCATCACGTACGGGTCAATACTCTCCCAACTCGCGTTTGAACATCACGCGGCAGACGCGTAGTCGGTGGCCCGCCTATCGAGTGTCGAGCGGGCTGTGGTACTAATGAAACCGCAGCTCACGTCATTCAGGGCTGTCACCGCACTCATGGAGGCCGAATACTGCGACACGATGCAATTTGCCGTATCGCAGTCAGTAGCCTCCGGCAGTTGGGATGGAGTGTCCGGCAGGAGCCGCACTTTCATACCAGAGAAGGCTTGCGGAAGCCAGATATCGTCGCTGTAAAGGATCAGGTTGTCAAGGTGATCGATGCGCAAGTCATCAGCGCTTCATCGTCCCTTGACGACTCGCACCGTCGGAAAGTCGCCAAATATGATACCCCATAGATGATCAGGTCGCCAGTGAGTATGGGGTCGAGAACGATAACATCTCGTTCTCTTCGATCACGATCTCCTGGCGAGGTATCTGGTCCGCTGCTTCCGCCGCGAGTCTGTGCGAACTCGGATTGAGCAAATGTTTGGATTCCATTACGTTTAGAGCTGTCCGTGGTTCGTACATGAATTGGCTCCGGTGGAATAAAATGACCACGCACATCAGTGGTTATACAGGTATTAACTCTGCAGGTCGAAGAGAAGGCATAGGGTAGCCTTGACATCATCTCGCGCACATCTTTTGGAGAACGTGGTCTCTCACCATCTAAGACGGCGCCACGAAATAAAGCCGCGTCCGAGCACTTCCATCGCTCGGGCAGATAGAGTTTTAGTGGGTATTCCCTCACCGACGCAAATCGGTTGAGGGCGAGTCCCACACACGGGGAGGTTCGAGGTTGACTTAAACTCAAACCTCCATACGGTGCGTAACGCATTTCTCTATCTAAAAAAAAAAAAAAAAAAAAAAAATTTTGAACAGAAGAGTCAAAGCGCTGCCTAAAAAGAAATGAGTTGATTATCAAACTACAATTCAAAATTTAACTAATGACTATATTACTTTTAAATCTAATGGGAATGAATTGGAATTTTCGAAAATTATTTTCTCCAACATTGTTTTAGAATAAAGTCTCTTTATTTATAAAAAAAATGAAGAATTTTTTATTCATGAACAAAGGTATTCGTGAAAATGGTATTCGTGAGATTTGTTTTCGTGAATAAAGATATTCGTGAAAATCGGTATTCGTGAAAAAGGTCATTCGTGAAACGCGTTCCGTGAAAAGGGTAGGTAACCGTAAGAGGTACTTATTAAGAATATACTTATTAAACCAACAAGCTGTGTCCATACATTATCCTTACTGTGTATATTAAAAATTAATAGGAAATAACTAAAAACATTCAGAATATTTGGTTATCTGATTCGCAGCACAAGCGAGCTTGTAAAATTGTTGTACTAAGGCTTTGGTTACCTACCCTTTTCACGAAACGCGTTTCACGAATTAACACGAGTTAATAATAGTTAACTATGATACAAATGCATAATTCAAAGTTTCATAATTAATACTTGAGCGCTACAGATCCAAATAGAAGAAATAAATTGAAGGATCGTTAATACCTAATGACAATTAGATTGATTTCAAACTCGGATTTCAAATTTTTTTTATGGATTGAACCTAATCTATGATTAGTGTAGTTATATACCTAATGTATAATTAGTCTTATTGAATGTACAAAGATCGCAGGAAATAGTATCAACAAAACGAGCCAGAAAATCATGTATTTTCAATTTAATTTCATTTTTTTTCTTTCTCTCTCTCTCTTTTTAAACTACCCCTTCTTAGAAGGACCTGCAGGAGGCTTAGAGCCTGTGCGCAGGAAGAGATTACTACTACCCCCTCCCTATTGTCTCGCATTTGCCCAGGCCCGAAGACCTGTGGGGCAAGGGAAACCTGGGGGTATACGTAGTGTAAATGCACTACACCCTCCTCCTCCTCCTCCAGGGAAAAACCCGCCCCGAGACAGGCGGAGCACATGGGTTCTCATCCAGCTGAATGGTAATCGGAAAAATCCGATTTTAAATCTCCATTTAAAATTTCTTTGAGAAAAATTTCCTTGATTTCTTGGAAATTTTTTACCAGTAATATTTGAGCGCAACACTTAAAATGACTTAAAAAATCGATTGTTTAAACATGTCCATGGACTAAAGTAATTTGTTCATCAAAATCTAACATATATTATCGCAAATTACTCTATTTTTCTCTAATAATTAAAAAAAATTGAGCTCTACGACTATTTTTTCGCCCTGTAGGCTTTTTTGAAGGTACCATTTATAATTCGCAAAATGCCCAAAAATGGAGTTGATTTGAGCTAAATGAGGGATTTTACGTACTTCCAAAAAGCCTACAGGGCGAAAAAATAATCGTAGAGAGCCCCATTTATTTTAAATTACTGGCTGAAAAGAGTAATTTGCGATAGTACATGTTAGATTTTAATGAACAAATTACTTTAATCCATGGACATGTTCAAACAATCGATTTTTTTAGTCATTTTTAGTGTTGCACTAAATTTTTCCGGTAACTCGATATTGACTAGAACCTATTCTGATATATAGGATAATCGGAAAAGCACTTGGCGAACGAAAACGGGCTTGTAGCTGGAAAAATTTTGAATTTAAGTTTCTTTGGAATTTTTTTCTAACTTTAATAGTTTCCAAAATAATCGACGAAGTAAAACGTTAAATTTCATGAATAAAAGGTCCTTGTTCGGCAGCTGTTTTGACGAACGAGAACAAGTTTTCAAAATTTGACACATGAAATAAAGTTAAGATTGTGTAAGGAAGTAGACAGCCAGTACAGAGTCCGGCGGTACTCCTTCCTTTTACCCTTATCCTAGACCCGTGTCGAGAGAGAGAGATCCGAGTATCGCGAGCCCGATATGAGACTTGGATCGGCGCCGTTTACAAGAGCGCCGAATCCGTAGCGAGAGACGCGACCCGTGTGTAAGATCTGCGCGCCTGCTGAGGAGAGCAGACGAAAGGCTGTCACAGAAGGGAGGCCTGATTTACTGACGGGCCAACGTGTGAGAGACTGTGCGAGCACTCTGTGCTGGTCCGCGCCCAGCGACGCTTCTACTCGAGGTTCTGCGTCGAGTTCGGTTGTGTGTGTGCGTACGAGCTACCTGTTGCGAATCCATCGTCGCCTGGCTTTCCTCTCGTCTGCCCTCGCTTCGTCTGCAGTCAATTTGGCCTGCATCACCTGCCCGACAATCAGCGTCAGCAAATGTAAGTCGCCTACACCTCTCTCGCGTGCATGCGCCATATATCCTATTATTGTGTAAGCTCGATCTCTCTCGACGTCGTCCTCGCTTAGCCTCAACTCACGACCGCCGTATCTGCCGTGTC